CCAAATCGATTGAGCGAGGTGCCTATCTCATGTAGAATTTTCTCAGGATTACAAATTTGTCATTATTTTTCCATTATCTCTTCAAATTACGGAGAAAAATACAAATTTATCTGACTCCCCAAATTTTTCGAATTAAAAAAATTCATACAAATCAATCGAGCGAAGTGTGTACAGTCTATCACATGTAAGACTTTCTCAGGATTACAACTCCGTTATTATTTTTCCAGAATTTCTTCAAATGAAAAAGAAAAATACACATTTACCTAACACTCTATATTTTTTCGAATTAAAAAAATTCGTCCAAATCGATCGAGCGAGGTATTTATCTCATGTAGACTTTTCTCAGGATTCCAATTCCGTCATTATTTTTCCAGTATCTCTTCAAATTGTGGAGAAAAATACACATTTACCGGACCCCCTATATTTTTTCGAATTAAAAAAATTGTCCAAATCGATTAAGAGAGGTGCCTATCTCATGTAGAATTTTCTCAGGATTACAAATTTGTCATTATTTTTCCATTATCTCTTCAAGTTACGGAGAAAAATACACATTTACCTGACCCCCCAAATTTTTTCGAATTAAAAAAATTCATACAAATCGATCAAGCGAAGTGTGTTACAGTCTATCACATGTAAAACTTTCTCAGGATTACAACTCCGTTATTACTTTTCCAGAATGTCTTCAAATGAAAAAGAAAAATAAACATTTACCTAACACCCAATATTTTTTCGAATTAAAAAAAATCGTGCAAATCGATCGCGCGAGGTACCTATCTCACATAAAGTTTTCTCAGGATCACAATTCCGTCATTATTTTTCCAGTATCTCTTCAAATTATGGAGAAAAATACACATTTACCGGACTACCTTTATTTTTTCGAATTAAAAAAATTGTCCAAATCGATTGAGCGAGGTGCCTATATCATGTAGAATTTTTTCAGGATTAGAAATTTGTCATTATTTTTCCATTATCTCTTCAAATTACGGAGAAAAATACACATTTACCTGTCCCCATAAATTTTTTCGAATTAAAAAAATTCATGCAAATCGGCCGAGCGAAGTGTGTACAGTCTATCTCATGTAAAATTTTCTCAGGATTACAACTCCGTTATTATTTTCCCAGAATTTCTTCAAATGAAAAAGAAAAATACACATTTACCTGACAGTCTATATTTTTTCGAATTAAAAAAAATTGTCCAAATCTATCGCGCGAGGTACCTATCTCATATAGAATTACAATTCGGTCATTATTTTTCCAGTATCTCTTCAAATTATGGAGAAAAATACACAATTATCGGACCCCCTACATTTTTTCGAATTAAAAAAATGTCCAAATCGATTGAGCGAGGTGCCTATCTCATGTGGACTTTTCTCAGGATTACAAATTTTTCATTATTTTTCCAGTATCTCTTCAAATTACGGAGAAAAATACACATTTACCTAACCTCCAATATTTCTTCTAATTAAAAAAATTCGTCCAAATACATCGACCTAAGTACCTATCTCATATAGAATTTTCCCAGGATTACAATTTCATCATTATTATTCCAGGATCTCTTGAAATTACGGAGAAAAGTATACATTTGTATGACCCCCTACATATTTTTGAATTAAAAAATTCATTTCAATGACGTCTCTTAATTTTGTTCAGTCTTATCTTAGCAAATACTGGCCCCGCCCACCCGCCCTCTATTTTCTTGGAGAGTATATCACTTGAAAAAATTAGTCTTAACAAGTATTAGCCCCGCCCAGTCGTCTCTATGTTCTTAGGTGGTACATCATTTGCCAAAATAACTTTTAATTTGGCAAGTACTAGGACCGCCCACCCACCCTCCATTTTCTTAGAAGGAATGTCAACTGCCAAAATTTGTCTTAACTTAGCAATACTAAGTGCATCTGTCAAAAGTAAAAAATGATGTTGTGGAGCGAGCATATTCGCAAATTATTATTAAATTAAAAAATTTGTCCAAATCGACCGAGCAAGGTACCTATCTCATATAGAATTTTCTCAGGATTACAATTGCGTCATTATTTTTCCAGTATTTCTTGAAATTACGGAGAAAAATTTACATTTTTATGACCCCCTACATTTTTTCGAATTAAAAAATTCATTGACTACTCTTAATATTGCTCAGTTTTATCTCAGCAAGTACTAGCCCCGCCCACCCGTCCTCTATTTTCTTGGAGAATATAGTATTTGAAAAAATTAGTCTTAGCAAGTATTAGCCCCGCCCAGTCGCTCTGTATGTTCTTAGAGGGTACATCATTTCCCAAAATAAGTTTTAATTTGGCAAGTACTAGGCCCGCCCACCCACCCTCCATTTTCTTAGAAGGAATGCCATCTGCCAAAATTAGTCTTAACTTAGCAAATACTAAGTACATCTGTCAAAAGTAAAAAATGATGATGTGGACTGAACATATTCGCAAAATATTATTATTAAATTTAAAAATTCGTCCAAATCTACCGAGCGAGGTACCTATCTCACATAGAATTTTCTTAGAATTACAATTCCGTCATTATTTTTCCAGTATCTCTTCAAATTAGGAAGAAAAATACATATTAACCAGACCCCTATATTTTCTAGAATTAAAAAAATTCGTCCGATCCATCGAGCGAGGTGCCTCTCTCATGTATTTAGAATTTTCTCATGTTTACAATTCCGTCATTATTTTTCCAGGATCTCTTGAAATTAGGGAGAAAAATGTACATTTATATAACCCCCTACATTTTTTCGAATTAAAAAATTCATTGCCTACACTTAATATTGCTCAGTCTTATCTTCGCAAGTACTAGCCCCGGCCACCCGCCCTTTATTATCTTGGAGAGTATGTCATTTGAAGAAATTAGTCTTAACAAGTATTAGAACCGCCCAGTCGCTCTCTATGTTCTTAGAGGGTACATCATTCGCCAAAATTAGTCTTAATTTGGCAAGTAATGGGCCCGCCCACCCACCCTCCATTTGCTTAGAAGGAATGTCATCTGCCAAAATTAGTTTTAACTTAGCAAATACTAAGTGCATCTGTCAAAAGTAAAAAATGATGTTGTGGAGCAAGCATATCCGCAAATTATTATTAAATAAAAAAATTCGTTCAAATCGACCGAGCGAGGTACCTTTTTACATACAATTTTCTCAGGATTATAATTCCGTCATTATTTTTCCAGTATCTCTTCAAATTAGGAAGAAAAATACATATTAACATTAACCCGACCCCTATATTTTTTCGAATTACAAAAAATCGTCCAATTCATCGAGCGAGGGACCTATCTCACATAGAATTTTCTCATGATTACAATTCCGTCATTATTTTTCCAGGATCTCTTGAAATTACGCAGAAAAATATACATTTATATAACCACCTACATTTTGTCGAATAAAAACATTCATTGACTACTCTTAATATATGATCAGTCTTATCTTAGCAAGTACTAGCCCCGCCCACTCGCCCTCTATTTTCTTAGAGAGTATATTATTTGAAAAAAATTAGTCTTAAGAAGTATTAGCCCCGCCCACCCGCCCTCTCTTTTCTTACAGAGTATATCATTTGCCGAAATTAGTGTTAATTTGGCAAGTATTAGGCCCGCCCACCCACCCCCCATTTTCTTAGAAGGAATGTCATATGCCAAAATTAGTCTTAACTTAGCAAGTACTAAGTGCATCTGTCAAAAGTAAAAAATGATGTTGTGGAGCATATTCTCGAATTATTATTAAATTAAAAAATTCGTCCAAATTACCGAGCGAGGTATCTATCCCATGTAAAATTTTCTCAGGATTAGAATTCCGCCATTATTTTTTTAGTAAATCTTCAAATTACGTAGAAAAATGCACATTTAACTGTCCCCTTTTATTTTTTCGAATGATTAAATTAATTAAAATTAAATTAATAATAATTATTAAATCTCAAGGCGGATTCATGAAGCTCGAGTATTTTATTCAATGAAATTTGAATAATATTTAGTGTAGAAAATTTCTAGAGGACAACATGAATTGCTGGTGGGAACGATTAAGAAAATTTTGGTTAGCGATCTACACGATATTTTGAAGAGACAACAATTTGACAACAATCGTCCAGTAGTTTCGAAGATTACCTGTCTAATAAAAATCGATAACTTTTGAAAATTATTAAAAAAAATTGTTCAAAATAATCAAACTACGCCAGATTGGCACATTATATTTAAAAAATATTGATTTTCTTGTTTTTGTGTACAATTTCTTTTCCAAATTCAAAATTTATATTATAATTGTAACTTCTAGTAAATTGTTTATAATAAAGTTACACATTGTTATTATGTTAAAAAATATGTAACTGCGATAATGAGATAAATTCACTTTTTTTTTAATTACGTAATTTGATATTTTTTTACCCACTACAACCATTGTTTGATTTTATTTAAATTCTTTCTGAAATTGTAGAAAAAATTTTGTGTTACGCGTTCGTTAACGGTTTATTATCACATTCGAGTTGTGAACAATTGCTTTTAACCCATTTGTAATGTAAATAATGTTAATATGGCGTTGTTTCTCTGAAAAGTGGAATCTTCAAGAAACAGAAATTTCAGTGGCATTTTTATCAATATTTTTTAAATACAAACTAAAAAAATTGATTATTCATACTTGTTTGACAACGCATTCGTGAAAGTACTTTGGTTTTGTAATTTCCAGCTAAACACAATTTTGACTCAACCAAAAAAAGAAAACTAGAATTTCTAAACTTATGTTGTAATAGTACAAGTCGAGAAACCCTTTTACAAAGATTGATTACTTAATCAAGTGAAGATCACAAAGCTCAATTACCACATCGTGCTCACAGACTAGACAACATGTCGTAATTTTACCAACATTCCTATACTTTTCCTTACTTACACGACGATCCACAGATTACTTTTGTACCCCGTCTCCTTTCATTTCAGTCACACATAAATCAACAACATCCAGAGAAATGAAAAAGGAAAGCTCAAACAACAAACAAAATTAAAAAATAAACCTCTTGCCAAAAACCAACCTAACCCCTAAACCACCATCCATCCATCCATCCATCTTCATCGAGTGGGGCGAAAGTATGTCAAGAACTGATAAGTCGTCCGCTGACTCTCCACTTCTTGTATTCGCTCAGTACCGGCCCGCGGAGAACGTCGTCACTATGCCCTGATTGTCATGGTGGTCCAGTTTCGGTGTGTTCAAGTGTTCCAAGTGCAAGAACAACATGTTTGCATTCTTTCTCTTCGCGTTTCTCCTCCGGGGAGTCATCTCCACGAACACCACAGTCGAGGAAATCCCCGAGTCGTACCTCAACCTAGCCTCCGGGAACTCTCTGTGGACCTCCCTCCTCAAGAACTGCCCCCAGCCCACCATGGCCTGCGTTGAAAAAAACATGTACGATTACCTCAGAGACACTTTCAGCCACCCCGATGACCTATCCGTGACGTCGTTCCTCAAGTTCGCGCGGAACGACGTCAAGTACGACCACGTTGAGCAGGACGACGACGAGGCAGAGGAGGAGCCCGCGAGTGCTTTTGAGGCGATGTCGAGGTCTCTGCATGGGCGGAGTGTGAACTTTTTGATGAACCACGATATGGAGGTGAAGTTGCCGGAAAGTATGTTTGACGGTAGTACTTTGAAGGTTTCGCCGAGGGGTTTTGAGGGGAGCGGAGCTTTGGTGAAGATCGAGCTGGTTCCGAGACAGGTGGAGGTTGCGGAAGGAAGGATCTTCAAGAAAATTAGTAAGTTTTGGTGATGTGTAACCACGTGGAAAATTGAATGAGTATGGTACGATGGGCGTTTGCTGGTTATGATGGGTTTGCAGACTGAAGAGTTGCGCAACAATGGGTGGTATGTTATTAAGTGGATGGAGCTTCAATTAGTCGAAATGCGGTTTTGACAGGCGGTAATAACTTTGTGGGGCAGGTTCGATGACTTTGAGTACTGGTAGTACTTAGTTTCGGTTAAATTCTTTACGATTGTAAAATGTAAATTCAGTGTAAATATAGAAATGGAAAATAAACAATAGGGTACAGTTACAAAGTAGTAAATAATGTAAATTTTTATTTTGGAGAGTTCTGAAACAGAAACCTATGTTATGCTAATGTTACCTAGATTAAAGAATTGATGGTCGGTTTACTAAATACTTAATTCAATTTAATTTAAAAAAATGGTGATGGTATACATTGAAGCTTGCAAAATATATAGGCAACTACAAGAACTTGTTATTATGACAAGAATCTTGTCAGGTTGCTTTGGTTCTTGTTGAATTTAAATTCATTAAACCAGAACTGGGACTTGCAATGTTAATGTTCGTGTTCTATTCGAGACACGTGATGTGCTATATTTATTAAGAAAACAATGTACGTGCACGCAAATATTGCACTTACACTCACTAAACGTCTGAACAATTATTACAATTGGAAATTATACCAAATTATGTTTTAGACGTTTTAATCATGTCTGTAAGAATATTATCGAACCAAATGTTTACATATTTTGTGTGTGTTTGATTTAGTAGGAATAACAATAATCAAATGTTATATGTTAATTTATATTACAATTCTATACTAATTCAGTATAACTGGTTTTAAAGTTTATGAATGAGTATTTGCAAAATTGTAAAAAAAATCTCTGAACCAAATTTTTGAAAATATTAATAAAATACCAACAATGAAACTCTGTTACGCTATTCAGGTCCTTAGCTATTCTATGGCCTCGAAAAACTGAATATTATTACATATTTGAAATGAAAATTAGAAAAAATCAGAAACTGAAATATTTTTTCGAAAAAAAAAAATTAAAATTTGGTAAAAATTAAATTTTATAAAAAAAATGTAACTCTAGATTCTATTAAATATTTGTCAATATAAAATCCAACTACCGTTCCACAGAACCAATAAGTATAAATGATCAAAAAGGATAGGGGTGGGTGGGTGGGCGGGACAACTTTTTACTTTGTTTGAAAACTTAGATTCTACCGCTTGTCAAAATAGAATTCAATTCCCATTTTACAGTAAATAAAATAAGTCAATGAAATTGAGAAAAAAGATGGGCGGAGCTGAGTTTACTTTTTATCTAAAGAGTCTTATAAGCAAGCAGTAGCGCCGCCCATTTACCCCCTCTTCATTTCTATGACTACCCTTAATACTGTTCAGCCTTATCTCAGCAAGTACTAGGCCCGCCCACCCACCCTCTATTTTCTTAGAAGGTATGTTATTTGCCAAAATTAGTCTTAACTTAGCAAGTACTAAGTGCATCTGTTAACAGTAAACATGATCTTGTGGACCATATTGGCAAATTATTATTAAATTATTAATAACTAATTATTTAACTGTCTATCAAATCAATATTACGGAGTTTCATATTTTCAAAAATTTGGTGCAGGGATTTTTTTAACCATTTTTTTCTAGAGCTTTCTTAACAATCGGACTTATCCGTCATTTTTTGACCATCCTGTATAAGCACTTCTAAGTAAAGAAAACAATAATTAAGAGAAAATAAGAAAATTGTTGAATATCATCATATTATTTAATATTTCATGTTGTCAAAAAAATCACATCGAGTTAAATGTTACACACAAGAGTTTCCAATTTGGTAATTCATTGATGATTTGTCATGCAGGAAATCTGGATCTTGTGACTAACAGTTCCGGTATTTTTAGAACACCCATATTTACAATTTTATCCTTTCAATATTTTGAAAAATGACAACTCCGTATATTTGGATACAATTTTGGCAAAAATGAAAGTCTGCTACGCTACTCAGGTCCTTAGCTATTCTATGGCCTCAAAAAACTGAAAATTCGTGTAAACGAAAAAGTTTAAAAGTCCAATAATAAATATTTGAAAAATGGAAAAATAATAAAATTATACAAGCGAATATTTAAAAAGAAAATTAGAAAAAATCAGAAAAACAAAAAAATTAAAATTGAAATGTTTTTTCGAAAAAAAATCAAAATTTGGTAAAAATTAAATTTTATTAAAAAAATGTAATCATAGATTCTGTTATTTGTTAACATAAAATCCAACTTACCTTCCTCAGAACAAGTAAGAATGAATAATCAAAAAGGTATAGAAGTGGGTGGGCGGGGCCTTTTTTTACTTTGTTGAAAATCTTAGATTCTTCCGCTTATCAAAATAAAATTCAATTCCCATTTTATAGTAAATAAAATAAGTCAATGAAATAGAGAAAAAAGATGGGCGGAACTAAGTTTAGTTTTTCTCAAGAGTCTTATAAGCAAGCAGTAGCCGCCCCCACCAACCCCCTCTTCATTTAAATGACTACTCTTAATATTGTTCAGTCTTATCTTAGCAACTACTAGGCCCGCCCACCCACCCTCTATTTCCTTAGAAGGTATGTCATCTGCCAAAATTAGTCTTAACTTAGCAAGTACTAAGTGGACCTGTCAAGAGTAAACATGATGTTGTGGACCATGTTCGCAAATTATTATTAAATTATTAATAACTAATAGTCTATTAAACATCAGTTCATTAAAACAATTCAAAATTACGAAGTATAATATTTTCAAGAGTTTGGTGCAGGGTCTTTTTTAACCATTTTTTTCGAGAGCCTTGTTAATAAGCGAGCTTATCCGTCATTTTTTGACCACCCTGTATAAACACTTCTAAATAAAGAAAACAATAATTAAGAGAAAATGAGAAAATTGTTGAATACGATCAAATTTAATTAATATTTCATTGATAATAATTTGTCTACTGAAAACCTGGATGTTCTGGCTAATAGTTCCGGTATTTTTAGAACACCCATATTTACAATTTTATTTTTTCAATATTTTGAAAAGTCCGTATAACTGAATAGAATTTTTTAATATATCTTGGCTTCAAAAATATAGCAAATCTGATAACTGTGATATATCTATACTTTATACAGAGACTATACCCTAAAATTATTTTTAACTATACAAAGTGTTCTGCTTTTAAGGCATTACAGGATTTATTTTTTAAATGAAACACCCTATATATTTTTAAATATTCTCATCAGCCTCCTTAATAACTACAGTTAATTTTTGAAACTGTGATGCGACGTTGCCACTTTATTTCAATTTTCCTAAAATTTTTTGACAATAGAAGGGTTCACAAAAAATCACAATAGTGTTATTTTTTAAAATATGTGTTAAAATATTTTGTGGGAGGATAAATAAAGGTAGGCGCTTTATTGTGGTATAAATTAAATCAAATTTTGATGCACAGAGTGTTTATAAAAAAATGTCGAAATTACAGGATGTTGTATTGGGAAAACTGAAATATCCATATTTGAAAATTGTAAAAAGTATTTTTTTATAAACACTTTGTAACATAGATTTTAAAAATAACCCTACTGCGGTTTTTCATATATAGGATGTTTCATTAAACGAAACTAAGTTGTGTGTTACGCCTTAAAAACAGAACACCATGTATAGTTAAAAATAATGCTAGAGTATAGTCCTCAAAGAACTTTTATTTATATTTTATTTTGTTAATTTTTTACACTTTACAAATGTCAGTGTCTCTTAAAAAAAAAAAAGGAGGGATAGAACATTTTCAGTAAAAGTCTAATGTTTTAACATTTTTTATTGATTATATCCTTTGTTATTTTCTTTTACTATATTAGAAACAAAAATATAAAAATATACAGAGTGTACGATTGTTTAATTTATAAATCGAACACATCTTGTGAGCAATATTTATGGATTGTCTAGCTAAATAATTCTGTTCTAATAGATCAAATGATTTTGTTATTGAGTAACTATAGCCGAATAATTTCCTTCTATCAGAGCTCTGGAACACCCTGTATATGGAATTTAAAACTGTTATAATTTTAGCAAAATAACATCCTAAAAATTAATGGGGCGTTATTTTTTTTGTATATTTCTAAAGCCAATATGAGCGGTAAGTTCTATGCATCCATCTTAAAAATGGCGGAAAACCAAAATTTTAAACATAACTATTTTTTTAAATTAAATTATTTAATCAATTTTTTTCTTTTGTACGTTAAATTTGCATATACAAAAGCATAAAGCTATTCCAATTAAATACATTTAGTACCATATGGTTTAAAAAATTAGTAAATTTCATGTCCTACTAGAGGACTTTTTTTCGGATCACACGGTATAAATTATAAACTGAAAACGCACATTCTAAAAATACAATTTAGCGGTTTATCTGTTGAATGTATCAGAATATATTTTATTGGGTAACCAAAAACAGTAATCTCCCACAATGAGAGCTTCCGAACATCTTGTAAACAATAATAAAGTTTTTTAAATTACCGTAATTTGGTAACCACACTGCTTTCATCAGTTTTTAATAACAGTAATAATATGGGAATTATACCATGCTGGTGTGAGATGATTTTGGCCCCTGACGTAAACGAATTTATCACATAATGTTCTAAAACGAAAAAAAAGACAAAATTTGAAAACTGTTTTTTAACAAGCGACATTTTTGAATTCAAAGCGTGATACTTAATTTTACATTAGCTTTTAATATCGAAAATTGAAACACACAATAAATGAAAGTTTTCTTACGTCTTCTTTGGTCTCATAATTTTAAATGTTGTTTATACTGTTATAATTAATCAGACCGTTGTTAATTCCTGTCAGAAACCACCAACATGCCACTCTTAATCCGGAAATTACTATTTCCTCCTGAATCGTCCCAAAATTTCCAACTAATGAATCATTTTTAAGAACATCCTCGTCTCACATCGCCCATTTCCTCTCCGTCCCATTACCAACACCAAACCCACGAAAACTAGTCCACCAAAATAATTGAAGGAAACAATCTATCCGAACCACCTCTTCTGAAAAAGCCCATCAGCCTACCCACTTCCTGCTTTTACCAATTTGAAGACAATCGCATTAGGGCACAAATAAACCAATTACACTAAATGCGTCACTAACAACTCAAAGGAAGTGTCAAAGAAAAGCCTATTCACTCATTCATAACCTGCCATTTTTTGCGACTCAAATAAGCGGATCACACCTCTAATTTCCGTTCGAGCGACCAGAAATATCCATGGTCAGTCAAGACATTCTAATGAGGAGAATTGCATGAGTTAGAGATAAGAGAAGATGTTTTTAGAACTTTAATAACCTTCACTCACAATTAGGCACGCTTTTCTGTAACGGTAGTCGGTAAAAACGTGTCTATCTTCGGCAGACAATGCCCGCAAAAAGAGAAATTTGTTGTGTTCTTGTAGTACCTTGCAAGAAAGTGCTCGCCCAAAAACATCTGACGAATAATTGGTTTTCCCGAAATGATCGTCATATGCTCGATGCAAAATAATTGCAATCTGGTACCACTTAACTTTTATAGCTATATTTAGTACCACCTAAATGTTATCTTTCTTCTAGAAAAATTCATCAGCGAGAAACTCATCTATGCCCTCATGGCCATCCTCCTAATCATCAAACTACTCGCCGCCAAGTTCATGTTCCTCATGCCCATGATGGTAGGCGCCGTCACGGCCAAGAAGCTCCTTATCAAAGTCCTCCTCTTCCTCTTCCCTGCTCTTCACCACCTGTTTAAACTCTGCGCTTACGTACCTCACGGTACTAAATTCCACCACCACAAGCACCACATCCAGCACTTCCATCACCTTAGTCATTCTAAACCCCATCACCATCACCACCATGGTGGTGATCATCACCATGATCATGGCCCCCACGACTCTATAGAAGTCATCCACCCTCACGCTGATGGTCCTCCTGTTCTGGCTGGTGGTCAATGGCATGGACACGGACACCATACTCTCGAGTTGGAGGAACCCCACAAACCGTTGTACAAACCCCACGAGCAAGAACTAGAGTACTTCTCAGGTGGTCCCAGTTTGTCGCACCAGTAAGTACCACTATTACGTAGCGGAACGAATTGGTTCTTATTTAATTAAGACGCTATTGTGTTGGGACAGCGATTTCGGTAGGTTATGGTTCATGTCGAAGGTACTAATTTGCATCCAGAAGTAGGTTAATGTGGGCTAGATTTGGTGACTCGGCTAGTGATATCGAAAGTACCGATGTGTATTACGAGCGGTCGTATCTTTATTAGAGATGTGGATAATGGGTACTTAAAATTATGTAGTTTAGTAGGTCTTGCGAATTAAATTACATGAAGTAATCGGATTTTACAGATTTCACACAGCAATGTGTATGTAATGGGAAAAATTATGATAATTGGTAGTAGCGCCGATGCATGACCTACCACATGGTATCGGAAGGTAGTACCAGGTAGCCGATTACTAGCGCGTTAATATAACGACGTTCGAATTGGATTTTAATTATGGGTTTAAAAAATCTGGATTAGACACTTCCTAAATTGGTAGTACCGTGAACAGATGCACTATTCTACATAGTAATAATTCATAAATTGTTAGTAAATTACTATAAAAAAATGGTGATGCATGACCTACCTTACACCAATGTTTTATAGTACCGGAGATAGTTGAAAAGTACCAAATTAGGATAATGACGTATCTAAATTCACAGCTTCGATTTTCTGCACGAAATCAATGCCACGTTTCTTTGTCCCAGTTAGTACTTATTACTGAAACGAGAGAACCACAATAGCCTCAGTTTTGGAATTATGGATATTGTAGTCGTTAATTAATTCAGTTGTGCGAAAATAGATTGTAACAAGTTACAACAATTCAAAGTAGCTTTATCAAATTTGATAGTTCTCAAGATAGTACTACTGTGTGAGCTTGACGTAACCATGTGTGAAAAATGGCAAAATTTCAACAATTGAATTATAGTGGCGTACGTGTTCGACTCACACCATGGTCTTGCTCGTTTGGATTAGTACCGTTTTATAATTCCAAATAAATAAATTTGCCAATATGTAGGTAGACGTGCTATTTACCGCCCCCATAAGCCACCTATGGTACTACCAAAATAGTGTTCGAGACAAATGTTTGACCCAGACAAAATAAAATTTCTTTGTCCAAAATGGTACGAAGCCAAATTAGTCCCAACATCAATTTTTAAAATTCCCACAATCATCCCAAGAACGGTACTTCGGCTTTTAATTCAACCAACGTCATTTCTTCTATCTATTTATAATTCCATTCCCGCTAATTAATTTATTCAAATCGTTCCCCACAGAACAACTTCTTATTGTTGTCAAGCTAAAACCATCTAATTTATCGAGGTACTACTCTCACGTTTGTAATTCAGGTCAGGTCAAAATTTTCGTTTTCCACTTAATCTTGCTCCACCTAATCAAATTACCCACAATTTGCAACCATTCGCACCAATCAGTACTCAAGTACCTTTCATTTGCAGCTTCATCAACCACCGCCAAGACTCCAGCGAAGACACCAACGAGGTGCAGCCGTGGGGTCAAGGTCAACACAAGAAACAACCCAACCGTCCATTAGCCCCGAAAGAAATCGAAGCCATGGTACTGAAAGCAGAAAGGGAAGCGATGGTACGTTCACACCTCGACCCTCCCCCCTCCACTAATTTTTGTCTAGTTGAAGGCACGTCTGCAGCAGGAGCGCCACCGCATCCAAGAGGAAAACGCCCGGTTGCAGGAGCAGCTGCGCCAAGCCATGAAACTGCAGGATAAACTCAAGCAGCAGGCAGTCGCGGTCAAGGCCAGAGTGCCGGTAGCGCCGATCCCCATCCTGCAAACGCCGGATGTTGAGCAGAAGCACGTCTACTCGGCGAAGGTCAAGCAGGAGGAACCGAAACCGCAGGAAAATGCGTTCGAAAAGGCGCTGCACCAAGCGGCTGCGATCACGTACGACCCGTTCTACAGCCCTATATTGGAAAAAATCGACAAGATTTTGGTCGGGTTGGGGGTGCGTGATGAAGGGTGCCGGGAGAGGTTGATTTGCAGCATGTACAAGAACCCGACGAGGTTTAGTCCGCATAGTAATTTGCTGTCGGCGGAATTGAGTAGGTGAGTGGAATTGGAGTACTACTCTGGGATTTTGGGGATTTTCCGTTTGTCGATTGAATTGGTGATCTTCTTTGAAGACGTTTACAAAAACTAGAACACCTTCTCTTCCTCGGGGTTTTTTAAGCGGAAGTTTTGTCGGTGGTATGGTACTAGGTTATCAAAGGCTGATGCAAACGCGGTTGCGTGATCCATTTTCTATTAGAAAACTATTACGTTTCTGTTGACTTAATTACAGTAGCTTTAAGCGTTTCACACGAAAACATCGGAAATTTATTGATAGTTTCCGGCTTGATCTCCATACCATTCGACAAAAAATGGTGCTGCATCCGAATGCAACTTTCTTTTCGCAAAGAGCTGCGAATATTTTGGGAGATTCGAGAGTCGGTTTCTTTGTGTTTTTATTTTAGTTGTTTTAAACTCGCACGAAAAGTACTTACTCGTTGATTTTTGGCTTTAGTAGTACGATTTAAAAATGTTGGTACTTAAGTCAATATGTATATGTTTAAATATCGAACGTAGATCACTGCTGTTGTTTTTGCGAAAAAAGCTACTATCCTCATTGCAATTTCAATAGTGTAGTACTTTGTTGGAATAATGGTGCAAATATTGATTTACTCCGATTGTTTTAATGTCCATTAAAGCAAACAACGTTTCAAATAGAGATTTCCAGTACCACTTCACTTTGGTACTATTTTATCTTTTTACACTGTATTAAAGTGCACCTTCAAGTAGTACTCATACAATAATTACGAGCTATTATTTCGGCAAAAAAGTATACTAGTACTTTCTGTCTATCCACCGTTCCAATAACCACCGAAATTCATGATTCTGGAAGCCACTTAGATGTACTGATCAGATAAAACCTGTATGTATTATTCCAAGTGAAATTAAAAATTCTTCCGCGTCCCACTTAAAAGCAGGTTGACCACATGCATCTTAAGTTCACGTCGCCGCATCTTCCCCAAACAAACCTTAAATTCCAATATATTCGCAAAAATTCCGCGCTAACCTTGACCAAGTGATAATCCCGGTCACCTACTGCTACACACTGTGCGAATACTAATCAGTCTAACCACCCAAACACTCAAGGAAAGTTACTATACCCAAACAAATACGAGTTCTCATTCATAAATTCATAGTACCGCAGTACCGTTACATCCACGAATATAAGAAAGGTATTTTTATCACTAGTGCATGTAGTACGTGTCTAGATAAGCCATATCTGAGTTCCAGCCGGTCAGTAAACCACGTAATTGTGTCGCTGGTAGTACCGATGGTATTTTTCAGAAACAGATGCGTCATTGTCCATCCAGCGAAATTTCGCGTGTTTCTCACTCTTTCACTCTCTCTCTGACTTGTTTATGTCCATGTCCGGAACCGTAGCAGGTTTGAATCCGGACCATGACCCGATTTTTTGTTGTTTAGGTATTGAGTGAAATTTTTACCAGATTCGGCCCTGTGTAGGTTAAAAGATCATTCTTGAAGGTGGAGTTTTTGGTAGTGTTGATGACGAGTCGGAGAAAGGTTTAATTTTGGTACGATACTAATGATTAATTCGAGGGGAATTTGGCACATTGGGTGTAACTGTTGGCTTCCCAAACGTGTAAAAAATAATAAATTATAACTATTCTGAAATGGCTGGCACGATTTTCAAAGATCACGGATTGCTGCAGTTTGGATAGTGTGCATGGGTTTTAGAAAGTTGGTGAGAATTGGGTAAATGAAGATTGAATTTTTCGACTCTGATGACTAAGTCTACGATAAAACCGGATAATTTACTTAATAGATGTTGATTATAAGCTCGCTTTATTCCTATTTGAGTGTTAATTTTTTTTTCAGGGACTCTTCCGAGCTTCAGAAACCAACTTCCACCAACGCCGCAGTCATCCGGTTTTACCGGTATGTGCAAGCAGCAAGAGATGGCCAAGACAAGCGTGAATGTTTAAGACTTTATCCTTCATGTGCTTTAAATACTGAACAGTAGCGTGAAGTGCTAACTTTTTTCAGGAGTGAAATAATGTTTAGCAGTGATGTATATAGTAATACGTATTTGTAGTCATTATAATGCGCTGAGTCATTAATTTGTAAATAGAATATAGATTTAGAAGCTTTTAGATGTAACGTATTGCTCAAAGGAAACGCTTCTGCTTATGGCAATAGAAGCATGAGTAAATCTAGTTTATGAATAGACCAGGATAACAATAGTTCTAGTATTCTGTACTAAGTAAATTTTGTTAGTCATAAATGTATACCGTGTGTCTATATTTAAATTTTAGAGAAGTCAGGGTTTCTACTTTAAGTAGAAAAGTTGGTGTTAGGTGAAGTAGCATTGATTATGTATTTATTAACCTATTTATTTCTTTCCTTTGCATATATATTATATATTTGTGACTATATTTTATTTCAAAGCTGACTCTTTTGTAGTATATATTTTTAATGTAGAGACTGTCGACCTTATTTATTTTACTATTTATTTACATATTTATTTATTTGTATATTTGTATATTTAAATTATTTGTAATAAAATGTGATAGAATCTTTAGTTAATGTTAGTGTTCCTAAAAAAATATCTTTCTCAGTTTTTCTTATATATATTTTTAACTGAACTATTTAAATTTTATAAAATTTATACTCTTGTACTTGTTGTTTATGAATCGGCCTGAGTTTATACCTTCAAATTTACACAAAAAATTCAAATAGTATAATAAAGTCACTTTATAATTTTTAGGGAAGCGGGATTTGTTGGCTGTATTTCAGAGGCGAAGGAAGTTCTGCCTAAATAACTTTAGATATTTTTTTTTGTTACGCAGTAAAATCTTGCTGTTATTGTTGTAAGACAATTTTTTATTACTGGTTATGTTGTCTAGTAGAAAATTCATTTTTGAAAAATTTGTCTAAAAATTGTCAGGAAATTCAGGGTTATTGATCTTGACGTGCTGATTCCAAAAATATAATAATATTTAGGGTCACGAGGCAATATTTTCGAAATATTTGGAGCGAAATTCGAATTTTTTGAAAAATTGCGATATTTCAATGGGTAATTCTGGAAAAACGGTTGGAGTTATCAAAGAAATGAGCCGGAAGTGACTTCTGCTGTCAGAAATTTGTAAGAAAATGTATTTAGTTTAATTTCGAAAATCGTCGAAAATGGGTCGAAATTTGCCACTTCGAAGAGAAAATTTGAGCATTTCGATTATATCAAACTATCTCACTTGAATGGGCCTTTTCTCTATTCAATAAAAATTGGTCGTTTTACTAAGTAATTTCAACCTCCATAACAAAAATCCGGGCTCTAACAATGTTTTCACTGACTCTTGAATTTTTTCTTAATTTTTGAGTGTCGACACTTTCGAAAAATGACACCAACTGATATATCTGTCTCTAGAAATTAAAAAAATCGGGTGTCGAGCCTGAAAATTATTCTACGGGATTAAAAAACTTTAAGGAATCGTGTGATGTAAACCGCAAGTCCGGGTATAAAACCGTTCCGGAGTTAGGTCCCGTTAATGGAAAAGAAATGGAAAATTTGAGCATTTCGAAAATATCAAATTATCTCACTTTAATGGGCCTTTTCACAATTCAATGAAAATTGGTCATTTTACTAATTTCAACCTCCGTAACAAAAATCCGGGCTCAAACAATGTCTCCTCTGACTCTTGAATTTTTTCTTAATTTTTGAATGTCGACACTTTCGAAAAATGACACCAACTGATATATCTGTCTCTAGAAATTAAACAAATCGGGTGTGGAGCCTGAAAATTATTCTACGAGATTAAAAAGCTTCAGGGAATCGAGTGATGTAAACCGCAAGTCCGAGTCTAAAACCGTTTTGGAGTTATGTCCCATTAATTGAATAAAAAGGGAAAATTTGAGCATTTCGATTATATCAAATTATGTCACTTTAATGGGCCTTTTCACAATTCAATGAAAATTGGTCATTTTACTAATTTCTATCTCCGTAACAAAAATCCGGGCCCAAACAATGTCTCCACTGATTCTTGAATTTTTTCTCAATTCTTGAGTATCGACACTTTCGAAAAATGACACCAACTGATATATCTGTTTCTAGAAATTAAACAAGTCGGGTGTCGAGCCTGAAAATTATTCTACGGGATTAAAAAGCTTCAAGGAATCGAGTGATGTAAACTGCAAGTCCGAGTCTAAATTCGTTTTGGAGTTATGTCCCATTAATTGAATAGAAATGGAAAATTTGAGCATTTCGATTATATCAAATTATCTCACTTTATTGGGCCTTTTCTGAATTCAATGAAAATTGGTGATTTTACTAATTTCAACCTCCGTAACAAAAATCCGGGCTCAAACAATGTCTCCACTGATTCTTGAATTTTTTCTTAATTCTTGAGTATCGACACTTTCGAAAAATGACACCAACTGATATATCTGTCTCTAGAAATTAAACAAATCGGGTGTCGAGCCTGAAAATTATTCTACGGAATTAAAAAGCTTCAAGGAATCGAGTGATGTAAACCGCAAGTCCGAGTCTAAAACCGTTTTGGAGTTATGTCCCGTAATGGAATAGAAACGGAAAATTTGGGCATTTCGATTATATCAAATTATCTCACTTTATTGGGCCTTTTCTGAATTCAATGAAAATTGGTCATTTTACTAATTTCAACCTCCGTAACAAAAATCCGGGCTCAAACAATGTCTCTACTGATTCTTGATTTTTTTCTTAATTCTTGAGTATCGACACTTTCGAAAAATGACACCAACTGATATATCTGCATCTAGAAATTAAACAAATCGGGTGTAGAGCCTGAAAATTATTCTACGGGATTAAAAAGCTTCAAGGAATCGAGTGATGTAAACCGCAAGTCTGAGTCTAAAACCGTTTTGGAGGTATGTCCCATTAATTGAATAGAAATGGAAAATTTGGGCATTTCGATTATATCAAATTATCTCACTTTAATGGGCCTTGTCTCAATTCAATGAAAATTTGTCATTTTACTAATTTCAACCTCCCTAACAAAAATTCCGGGCTCAGACAATGTCTCCGCGGATTTTTGAATTTTTTCTTAATTCTTGAGTATCGACACTTTCGAAAAATGACACCAACTGATATATCTGTCTCTAGAAATTAAACGAATCGGGTATCGAGCCTGAAAATTATTCTACAGCATTAGAAAACTTGAAGGAATCGAGTGATGCAAACCGCAAGTCCGAGTCTAAAACCGTTTTGGATTTATGTACTATCCACTTTTCCTTCATTGAAATAAGTGATCAAAAAGAATGGGTGGGTGGGCGGGGAATTTTGAAGTTTTTTTAAATTGAAAATGTGACCACTTGACAAAATAAAATTCAATCTTCATCTCGCAGTAAATAAAATAAGCCAATGAAACACAAAGGCGGATGTGGATGGGTGTAGTTTTACCTTTTTTGTCTAGATTCCACTGTTCAATACACTAACCATTTTTCCTCGAATGAATCAAGTGATCAAAAATAACTAGATAGATGCTGATTGTAGTTGCAAAAATGCAGCGTATTTAGGGTCATGGAGCACTACTTTCGAAATTTTTGGTGTGAAATTCGAATTTTTAAAAATTGCGATATAAAAACAGTGGAAGTTATAGAATATATGATCCTGGAAGTGTCTTCTGCGGCCCGAAATCTACGAGAAAATGTATTTAGTTACATTTCAAAAATCGTCGAAAATGGGAGGCCTATAATACTTAGTGGAAAATTTCATTTTTGAAAACTTCATCTAAAAATTCTCAAAAAATTCAAGGTTATAATCTTGACGTGGTGATTCCAAAAATATAGCTTGTTTAGGTTCACCGGAACTATTTGTATTTTGTTTTGGAAGTAGTTTGAGGAAATCTCGGAGATCCTTTGTCTTGTTTTTGAAGTTATTTGAAAGAACCCCGGCTAGCCCGCAACCAACAACACACATCCTAAGAGAATATGTCATTCGCCAAACTCAGACTTATTTTAGCAAGTAGTAGCCCCGCCCACCCACCCTATATTTTCTTAGATAGTATGCCCGATAGTCATAACTGTTAAATAAATCGGTACTGAAAAAATATCTTACCTAGGCTCTTGCTTATGCTTCTGTAATATTTCTTGTTTTTGACCTAATTTATTTTACCAACCCAACCGTCAAAGAAATGACCTCTTCTGTTTCACACAAATCAGGAGTACTTTTACGTTATGGTTTGTGTTATGTGATACATATATTTATTAAAAAAAAACTTCATTTATAAGTTATTTAATACTTATTTTTTTTTTTAAGATGTGCACTTTGTTTTGCTCCTCAGAGAAGAAAGATTTACAGTAAATGTACTTGCAGGTGTTTGAAAATTCGGGATTCATATTAGCAAAATTTTTCAAAATATCGTAGTGGGACAAAATGGTTTGAAATAAAACTAATTTAGGACACTTTGTGATACTATAACGAAAAAATCCAAGATCCATAATTTGGTAAAACAGGAGTGTGTATTACAGAAATAAAAATCCTGCCAATCACCAACACTTTAGTTTTCAATCCACCAACTCTTCCAACCGTGCCGAACAACACCCAAACCCATCACTCATCAACAATTTCATTTTTCAGTGAAAACTAATTAACAATCAGTTTTCCTTCCTCCCTTAATCGCATTCTCCTCACTACCCAAAATTCGATCCTATCAAACCGAAAGCTCTCACCTCAATTCCCCAAATGCTTCGCGCCAAATCCGGGCCATTCCGCTCACGTCCAACCCCATTCAAACGCATTTGGTTTCTATTTCCGTTGCGTCTCGTATAAAACCACTCCCAAACAAACTTTACTATCATTCCCGCTAATTACACCATGAGTGCAAAGCTAGTGCTGGTGCTAACCCTCGCCGCCCTCGCCCGCGCTGACCCCTCCGCCAGCGACGTCCTGCGGGACATCTACCACTCCTGCCTCAAGGACTTCTCCGTGTCCTGCGTCAAGCCCAAAGCCCTCTCATGGATGAGCTACGTCTCCGACAAACCCCAGATCCACATCACCGAGGACCTCGTCCTGGTGAAGAAGCGCGACGCGGAGGAGCGTGGAGTGTCTGCGGATGTGTTCGACAAGTTCGAAGATTTCCTGCAAAGTCACGACTTGGTGGCTAAAGTGCCGCAGGTATTGCAGCCAGGGGGGATCCTCGGGGGGTTGGTGCCTAGAAGCATGCAGCCCGAAAATGTAAGGGTGCCTCTAGCGGTGACCGGTAGGGATGAGTGTTTTGTTTGACTTTTTGCGGATTTGTGGTGTTGTAGGTCGCTCTAAAATTGTCAAGAGGGTGATTGTGCCGTTCCTTTTGGGGCTTAAGTTCAAGGCTGCAGTTCTTGTGCCTTTGGCTCTGGCACTGATTGCGCTGAAGACGTGGAAAGCGTTGACTTTGGGGTTGTTGTCGTTGGTGCTCACGGGGGCGCTGCTTATTTTTAAGTTGTCGAAGCCTCAGGTGAGTTTAAGGGTGGTTGAAGGTTTTTGTTAATGGGTTGTTTCAGGTGAATTATGAGGTTGTGCATTTCCCTCAACACGTGGAGCACCATGTTGAGCATCCTCCGACCAGTGGATGGGATCATCATCCAGGGTATGGGAGGGAGTTGACTGCGCAGGAGATGGCGTACAATGCCTACTTGTAAGTTTAAGGGAGTCTGTTGTTATTTATTGATTATTTAATAAATTATTTGTTGCAAATTAGTCTCAATTCATTAAAAAAAAAAAAAACGAATCGATACAAATAATTTGTGGATATGTGATAATAAATTTTGTATTTTCTACGCAATATTCTTTCCTATTTTTTATTTCTTACTTTGAATTTTTTACCAAAATTAAAAAATTCGTCGAAAGTTATTGCTTGCTTTTCGAAAAATTAGAAAGTTATTGATTTTGGAAAATTTTACTTTTTTGTGATAACCTCTAAAAATGGTATAGAAAGTATTAGTCGCAGTGTAAGAGAAAAAAGAAAGGTTTCATCTTAAAAACAAAATACTGTTGGGGCCCCCGAGACGGTTTCACTTCCTGTAAAAAAAGACAGCTGGGACACCCGAGAAGGTTTCGCCTTCTTTAAAAAAAGTACTATTGGTGCCCCAGAAGCTTTCACCTTCTTAAAAAAAAGAAAAACGAGTTGGGACCTCCGAGAAGGTTTCACTCTTTAAAAATAGACAGTTGGTGCCCCAAGAAGTTTTCATTTTCTATGAAACACTTCAGTTGGGGTCCCCTAGAGAAGGTTTCATCTTCTTAAAAAGTTTTCAACTTTTAAAAAAAAATAAAATACATTTGGCCCCCTCTAGAAACTTTCACCCTTTAAAAAAAAAACACAGTTAGTGTCCCGCCAAGATTTCACCATCTATAAAAAAAGACAGTTGGGGCCCCGGAGAAGGTTTCACCTGCTTAAAAAAAAGAAAAAGGTAGTTGAGGGTCCCCAGATGGTTCTCACATTCTTTAAAAAAAAGCATTTGGGGCCGCTAAGAAGGTTTCACATTAAAAAAAAAATCGAAAACTATTTCAACAGAAATTTCTTCGCCCTTGAGTGTATCCGATAAATCCTTCGTCTTTAAGATATTAATTTTTTTTTTCTATAAAGAAAAAACTAGTAGTGCAGGTGGGGACAACATGAAATATATTTAATTTAAAGCAGATAACCAACACGAAAAAGTGTATAGATAATCTCAATTTCTCAGTACATGTTTAACTTTGACGGTTTATACTTCCTCCAAACATTATAATCCCCAAATCCTTAAAACACCATAATCCTCAAATTGTCAAAACATCACAATCCTCAAATCCTCAAAACCAAAATCCTCAAATCCTCAAAACATCAAAATCCTCAAAATACCATAATCCTCAAATCCTCAACACATCAAAATCCTCAAATCTTTAAAACACTATAATCCACAAATCCTCAGAACACCAAAATCCCCAAATTCTCAGAATACAGCAATTCTCAAATCTTCAGAACACCATAATCCTCATATCTTCAAAACACCATAATCCTCAAACTTTCAAAACACCATAATCCTCAAATCCCCAGATGACCGTAATCGTCAAATCCTCAGAACACCATAATCTTAAATCGTCAAAACACCACAATCCTATCCTCAAATTCTCAAAATATCAAAATCTTCAAATCCCCAGAACACTACAATCCTCAAATCCTCAAATCACTAAATTCCTCAAATCCTCAAATGCTCAAAACACCATAATCCTCGAAACATCAAAATTTTCAAATCATCAAAACACAATCCTCAAATCTTCGGAACACCATAATCCTCAAATCCTCACAACGCCATAATCCTCAACTCCTCAGGACACCATTATCTTAAATCGTCATAACACCACAATCCTCAAATTCTCAAAACATCAAAATCTTCAAATCCTCAGAACACTATAATCTTCAAATCGTCAAAACACTATAATCCTCAAATCCTCAAAACACCAAAATCCTCAAATCCTCAAATGCTAAAAACACCATAATCCTCGAAACATCAAAATTCTCAAATCATCAAAACACAATCCTCAAATTCTCAGAACACCAAAATCATCAAATAATTCTCAGTTTACCGCAATCCTCAAAACCTAAGGACACCATAACCCTTCAATCTTCAAAACACCTTAATCCTCAAATCCTCAGAACATCATAATCTTCAATTCGTCAAAACACTATAATCTTCAAATCCTCGAAACGGCATAATCCTTAAGTCCTCAGAACACCAAAATCCTGAAATCCTCAGAACACCAAAATCCTCAAATCTTCAGAACATCACAATCCTCAAATCCTCAGAACGCCATAGCCCGCAAATCCTCGTGTAGACTACAAGCATCAGCGAGTAAAAAGAAATTAAATTTGATTTTGGCTCTTCAACGCAGAAGAGAGTTAATTAACCAAACTCAATTGTTTCCAAAATTATTTTTGAAAATTTTTCAGCAAAATTGTAACGTGACGGTTTTCAAGATTTCAGAACATTCGTTTTCCCAGTTTCTAAGTTAAATTGCAAAATTTTTCAATACTATTTTGATTTTTTTACCATAAACACAGATTCACAAATCACATGTGAAGAAGTATCTTATTTTGGAAAATTGAAATAATATGTACTAATGTAAATTTCGAGATGGCGCATCCTTTTGTTAGTGGGAATGTTTAACAAATTTCGTTTAGTGTTTTACCATCTACATGATATTTCCTGTACATATAAATTTTAACAACAATCGATCCAGTAGTTTTGGAGATTGTGTCTGAAATGACGAAAAAGGACGAATAAGGACGAGAAGCACGAAAAGGAGGAAAAAGGACGAAAATGATGAAAAAGGACGAAAAAGGACAGAAAGGACGAAAAGAACGACAAGAACGAAAAATTACGAAAATGACGAAACTAAACGAAAAAGGACGAAAATGACGAAAAACGACGAAAAAGGGTGATAAGAACGAAAAAGGACGAAAAGAACGAAAAAGGTCGAGAAAGGACGAGAAAGGGCGAAAAAGGACGAAATAAGACGAAAAAGGGCGAAAAGGACGAAAAAGGATAATCAGGACGAAAAAGGATAATAGGGACGAAAAGGGATAATAAGGACAAAAAAGGACGAAAAGGACGAAAAAGCACGATAAAGGACGAAAAGGACGAAAAAGGACGAAAAAGAGTACTAAGGAAGAAACAAGACGGAAAGGACGAAAAAGGTCGAGAAAGGACGAGAAAGGACGAGAAAGGACGAAAAAGGAGGAAAAGGACGAAAAGGACGAAAAAGGGCGAAAAGGACGAAATAGAACGAAAAAGGACGAAAAGGACGAAAAAGGATAATAAGGACGAAAAAGGACGAAAAGGACGAAAAGGACGAAAAGGACGAAAAGGATGAAATAGGACGAAAAAGGATGGAAAGGACGAATAATAATAAACCATAAGTACAGGATTACGTTATTTTATAAAATTTAAACAGCATTTGCCATGTAAAAATTTTAGGTGACCTAATCAAATTATTGGGGGGGATAATCAGACAAATTTTAGTTAGCGTTTTATCGTGTATATAATATTCATAAAATATACAGAATATTCTTCCGTTCTTAGCTTACGCTCGAGAAATCAAATCGAAATTTGTCTTTTAATTCCTTTTAAAAAGTTATGACGTCATCCGAAGATATAGTAAAGTAAATTTCTTTCCGATTTATCTCCGATTTTAGATAACATAATTTTCGGCTAGCTACTTGAAGATACTCAAAAGTTATCAAGTTTAAATTAAAATCTAATTACTCACCCCTCCGAAAAATTGATGATGTCACCTCAAAAAAAAGCCCTAAAATAAACAAATCCCTGCGTAGGAAAAAGATTATTAACATAAGAACGTCTTATGTACTTTTCCTAAAACTACTGAAACAGCAATAAAAACACGATCAAATACTGCCAAGGATTTTTGAAAGTTTGTGTTTGATCGTTGTATTTTCAGCTCAAACTTCAAATTAACGGTAATCGGACTAGACGAAAAGATAAATCTTCAAAAATCCATGGATGTTTTTGATCGTGTCTTTAATTGCTCTCTCGGTACAATAATACTGGAATATTTTTATTCTTAAATATATACAATATACAGTAAGATGATATATGACGTATATCTTTCATGTTTCATAAAATGGAGGCGCGTTTCAGCAGCTTTAGTTCCATTAAATGACCAAAAACCAGAAGAATTTGGTCTAGTTTCAAATTTTTCAAGTGCTCGATTTTCATTTAAATAACCGTATTTTCTTAACACCAAGTTTAAATCAAACAATTCAATATAAATCATAAACCAGTAACCCAAAACTCAAATTCAAAACCTCATCTGCACCTTACCCCAAAACCTCCAAATCGCCGCTCTCCTAATTAGCAAGTTCATAGAAATCAAAACACCAACAAAAGCAACATCGCCCCGAATTCCTCGACCTCCTCGTCCTGAATATCAATCCCGTCCTTGTTGCCTCCTGAACCAAAATACGTGAAGAATCCGACCATCCAACACAAACACAATTACTATGCACAGCACCGTCCTCCAAGAACAAAAAACGTCCGGTTCAGTTCCGATCGACTACTTTTCCAAACCCAAACACACACTCTTATAAATAGCCAGGGTGTGTTCGATGTCGCCATTGCTCGGTAGTCTTCAGCCGCAAAATGACGTCCCCAAGAGTGTGCGTGCTTTTGGCAGTAGTGACTTTGGCTAGTGCTTCACCCGCCAAACCCGCCTTCTGGAAGGGTACCGCGTTCGACTCGAGCGTCGAGCAAATGAGGGCGCTATGCGCTGAAGACGACCCAATTGCGTGTCTCAAATTTAAGGCCATCTCGTTCTTAAATTCGATCTTGCAGAAAGACAACTTCCTAGTACTGTGGTTTCAAAAAAAAGTCTACCAAAAAGTGACGATTTTGTTTTAGATTGGTGACGATGTTGAAGTGTCAAGGAACTCCTACCAACCCAACGAAATCACGAGCAGGAGCGAGAACTCCATCGAAGACACGGTGGAGGAGTACATGAAGAGTCACGACGTCACTTTCAACTTACCAGGAACCAAGGTCACGGTTGGTGCTCGCAACTTAGACAGCGAAGAACTTGACTTTAAAGTCAACTTCGGGGGTGAAGTTGAAGGTGAGTGTTCAAGTTTTGGAAGACGATTTTGAAACGAGTTTTTGTAGCACGCAAATCCAAACTGAAGAAAGTCATCGTTCCAATTTTGGTCTTCGTGTTGCTGAAGGCCATCACTTTGGTACCACTAGCGTTAGGTATTTTGGGCTTGAAGGCTTGGAATGCCCTTCAGTTGTCGTTCTTGTCGTTCATTGTGTCCGTGGGGTTGGCTATTTTCCAGCTTTGTAAGAAGATAGCGTCTGAACACGCTCCTCCACAAATTTCGGCACATCCTCCATGGGAGGCGGCGTATAATCATTACGCAGCGAGGTCGTTGGGAGATGAAGCGCAAAAGTTGGCGTATAAGGCGCATGTGCAAGAATGAGTTAATTTATTTTTTATTTATTTGGAAATAAAGTTGATTTGATTACAGGTTTATTTATTTCCCGTAGATCGTTGGTTAAAGTGGTAGCAATTTCTTTTTTATTTTTAACAGAGTAAGTTTGTATGGGTTTTTTGTACAACCAAAGCGGAATTTTGGGTTCACATCAAATTTTACATATCGCTTATTAAATCGTCAATGTATCCAAAGTAGTCCCGGAAATTTTGACTCAAAAATAACGTGTGTTTCGGCAATAAAATCTCCAAAGTCAACTTGTTCAACAATGATACAATGCTATGGAAAAAAAATTAAAATTTTTAATTTTTTTTGACTCGCATTCCAAATTTCGTTTAACGTATTACTATCTTTACAATAATTTAAAAAAATCGTAGTAAAATTTTGATTGACAGGCAACAGAAATGGAAATGGAAAACCTGTATTTTTATGTTCTTCTAACTATAAAAAAAAACAAGTAAATATAAAATCAAAAATACGTCAAAATATCTCTTATGATACTCTACTGGTCGCTAAAGAACTAAAAACAAACAGGAAATTGTAAAAAAAAATAGCTGGCAGCTTAGATAATTCATACAAATTCAAACGTTTAAAGACCAGATTCGCGAACAAAATATACAACAAATCCCGATTCTTGGAAAAATTCTAAAATTTTCTGAAGTGTAAAAAAAAATCCCCCATAACTGATAAACACCGGTTGTTTTTGTGAAAATTTGCTTGCCTAAGGGAAAAATTTAAGGCGAATTGATAGCCCACAAATACAGGAGTATGATATTTTACACAATTTAAATGTTATTTATTATAAAAAAATTTGAGGTACCAGCATCAAATTATCGGTAGGGACGATTAGACAACTTTTTAGTTAGCGTTTTACTATCTTCACGATGTTCCTAAAATTTGACAACAAACTGTCCGGTAGTTTCGGAGATTATCTGTCTAAAATTCGACATAAAATAGAGATACTGCAAAAATAAGGTCTGAATCGTAATCCTTTCGGGTCATGTCTTAAAGAAAAAACATGAAAGTGTCCATTCGCTGGATGGGGACATCGGTCAGTTGCGCGCCACGGTCAGAAAATCTGCAAGTAGTCCTAATACCACCGGACAGTTGCGGGCAAGATCTTGGTGTCTCGAGTAATTGAGGATTTTGGTGTGTTGAGAATTGGAGTTTGAAGATTTGACGATATGAGGAATCTGTTGTTTTGAGGATTTTGATATTTTGAGAATTTGAGAATTTTGGTATTTAGAGGATCTGAGCTTTTTGAAGATTTGAGGATTTGAATATCGTGGTGTTCAAAGGATTTGAGGATTATGGCGTTCTGAGGATTTGAGGATTTTGGTGTTCTGGGCATTTGAGCATTGTGGTGTTTTGAGAATTTGAGAACCTGGGGATTTTTGTGTTTTGAGGATTTGAGAATTTTCCTGTTTTGAGGATTTGAGGATTTTAGAGCTTTGAGAATTTGAGGATTTGAGGATTTGAGTACTTTTGTGTTTTGAGGATTTGAAGGTTCTGGTGTTCTGAGGATTTGAGGATTTCGGGATTTTGAGAACCTGAGGATTTTGATGTTTTGAGGATTTGAGAATTTTGGTGTTTTGAGGATATGAGGATTTTAGAATTCTGGGATAGATAGATAGATAGATAGATAGATAAGTTTATTGCACAACAGTACAAACGGTTAGTTAACAGTGTATACCTACTGATAATTAACTTAACTAACCTAAGAATAAAACAAATAAAATCATACATCAAACACAATAAAAAAGAACACAAATTTAAAATTTATTAAAAGAAATGTCTAAGTCGGTGCCTCGTAAAATATCAAAAATTAGCTGCTTTTTAATGACTTGGCTCGACATATCAAGAAATTGATCTAAGTGATTCACAATATAGGGAGCTAGATATGAGAAAGATGATTCAAAACGAGCAGTCATATGAGTGGGTATAGTCAATTGTTTTTCAACAAATCTAAGCTCTCTACTATGGGAATCACTTCTTTTACACAGTTTAGAAAATAAATCTGGGGATTTGAGGAGTTTGGTATTTTGAGGGCCTAAGGATATTGATGCCTTGAGGATTTTGGAATTTTGATGTTTTGAGGATTTGAAGGTTATGGTGTTCTGAGGATTTGAGGATTTCGGTATTTTGAGAAACTGAGGATTTTAGTATTTTGAGGATTTGAGGATTTCGATATTTTGAGAATTTTAATGTTTTGAGAATATGTGGATGTTAGAATTTTGATGTTTTGAGGATCTGAGAATTTTGGTGTTTTGAGGATTTTAGGATTTTGGTGTTCTGAGGATTTGGGCATTTTGAAAATTTGAAGATTTGGGTATTATAGTATCCTGAGGATTTGAGTATTGTGGTGTTCAAAGGATTTGAGGATGATAGCGTTCTGAGGATTTGGTGTTCTGGGCTTTTGAGGATTGTGGTGTTTTGAGGATTTGAGAATTTTGGTGTTCTGGGGTTACGAGGATTATGGTGTTCTGAGGATTTGAGGATTTTGGTATTTTATGAACCTGGGAATTTTTGTGTTTTGAGAATTTGAGAATTTTGGTATTTTGAGGATTTGAGAATTTTAGAGCTTTGAGGATTTGAGTACCTTTGTGTTTTGAGGATTTGAAGCTTATGGTGTTCTGAGGATTTGAGGATTTCGGGATTTTGAGAACCTGAGGATTTTGATGTTTTGAAGATTTGAGAATTTTGGTTTTGAGGATATGAGGATTTTCGAATTTCGGGGATTTGAGGATTTTGGTATTTTGAGGGCCTAAGGATACTGATACCTTGAGGATTTTAAAATTTTGATGTTTTGAGGATTTGAGAATTTTGGTGTATTGAGGATTTCAGGATTTTGCGGTTCTGAGGATTTGAGCATTTTAAAAATTTGATTTGAGGATTTGGGTATTTTTGTGTTCTGAGGATTTGAAGGTTACGGTGTTCTAAGGATTTGAGGATTTCGGTATTTTGAGAAACTGAGGGTTTTGATGTTTTGAGGATTTGGGGATTTTGATATTTTGAGAATTTTAATGTTTTGAGGATATGAGGATTTTAGAATTTTGATGTTTTGAGGATTTGAGAATTTTGGTGTTTTGAGAATTTTAGGATTTTGATGTTCTGAGGATTTGAGTATTATGGTATCCTGGGGATTTGAAGATTATGGTGTTCTGAGGATTTGAGGATTTTGGTGTTCTGCGGATTTGAAGATTTTGTTTTATTGAGAATTTGAGGATTTTAGTCATTTGAGGATTTGAGGATTATGGTATTTTGAGAACCTGGGAATTTTTGTGTTTTGAGGATTTGAGAATTTTAGAGCTTTGAGGATTTGAGTACCTTTGTGTTTTGAGGATTTCGGGATTTTGAGAATCTGAGGATTTTGATGTTTTGAGGATTTGAGGATTTTGTTATTTTGAGGGCCTAAGGATATTGATACCTTGAGGATTTTAAAATTTTGATGTTTTGAGGATTTGAGAATTTTGGTGTTTTGAGGATTTGAGGATTTTGCGGTTCTGAGGAGTTGAGCATTTTAAAAATTTGATTTGGGGATTTGGGGATTTGAGCATTTTTGTGTTTTGAGGATTTGAAGGTTATGGTGTTCTGAGGATTTGAGGATTTCGGTATTTAGAGAAACTGAGGGTTTTGATGTTTCGACGATTTGAGGATTTTGATATTTTGAGAATTTTAATGTTTTGAGGATATGAGGATTTTAGAATTTTGATGTTTTGAGGATTTGAGAATTTTGGTGTTTTGAGAATTTTAGGATTTTGATGTTCTGAGGAATTGAGCATTTTAATAATTTGAGAATTTGAGTATTATGGTATCCTGGGGATTTGAAGATTATGGTGTTCTGAGGATTTGAGGATTTTGGTATTCTGCGGATTTGAAGATTTTGGTGTATTGAAAATTTGAAGATTTGAGGATTTTAGACATTTGAGGATTTGAATATTTTGGTATTTTGAGAACCTGAGGATAGTGGTGTTTTGGGGATTTGAGAATTTTGATGTTTTGAGAATTTTGCTGTTTTGAGGATTTGAGGATTTTGCTGTTTTCAGAATTTAGGCTTTTGGAGATTTGAAGATTTGAGGATTATGGTATTCTGAAGATTTGAAGATTATGGTGTTCTGAGGATTTGAGGATTTTGGTGTTCTGCGGATTTGAGGATTATGGTGTTCTGAGGATTTAAGAATTATGGTGTTCTGAGGATTTGAAGATTTTGATATTTTGAGAATTTTAAAATTTTGAGGATTATGGGGTTCTGAGGATATGAGCATTATTGTGTTCTGAGGAATTGAGGATTTTGGTGTTTTGAAGATTTGAGGATTTTGCTGCTCTGAGGATTCGAGAATTATTGTGTTCTGAGGATTTGAGGATTGTGGTGTTCTGAGGATACGGGATTGTGGTGTTCTGAGGATTTGATGGTTTTAATCTATTGAGAATTTGAGGATTTTAGTCGATTTAGAATTTGAGGATTTTGAAGATTTGACTATTTGAGGATTCTGGCGTTTTGAGGATTTGAGGATTTTGTTATTTTGAGGATTTGCGAATTTTGATGTTTTGAGGATTTTGGTGTTCTGAGGCTTTGAGTATTATGGTGTTCTGGGGATTTGAGTATTATAGTGTACTGAGGATTTGAGTATTATCGTGTTCTGAGGAGTTGAAGGTTATGGTGTTCTGAGGATTTGAGGATTATGGTGTTCTGAGGATTTGAGTATTGTGGAATTCTAAGGATTTGAGGATTATGGTGTTCAGAGGATTTGAGGAATATAGTGTTCTGAGGAACTGAGGATTATGATGTTCTGAAGTTTTGAGGATTATGGTGTTCTGAGGATTTGAAGGTTATGTTGTTCTGGGGATTTGAGGATTATAGTGTTCTGAGGATTTGAGGATTGTGGTATTTGAGAACTTGGAGATTTTTGTGTTTTGAGGATTTGAGAATTTTGGTGTTTTGAGGATTTGAGGATTTTAGAGCTTTGAGGATTTGAGGATTTGAGTATTTTTGTGTTTTGAGGATTTGAAGGTTATGGTGTTCTGAGGATTTGAGGATTTCGGTATTTTGAGAACCCGAGGATTTTGATGGTTTGAGAATTTGAGAATTTTGGTGTCTTCAGGATATGAGGATTTCAGAATTTTGGGGATTTGAGGATTTTGGTATTTTGAGGGCCTAAGGATATTGGATTATGGTGTTCTAAAGATTTGAGGATTATGATTTTCTGAGGATTTAAAGATAGTGGTGTTCTGAGGATTTGAGTATTATGCTGTTCTGAGCATTTGAGGATTGTACTGTTCTGGGGATTTGAGCATTATGCTGTTTGGAGGATTTGGGGATTGTGTGTTCTGAGGATCTGAGGTTTTTGGTGTTCTGAGTATTTGAGGATTTTGGTCTATTGAAAATTTGAGGATTTTGAAATTTGTGGATTTGAGGATTATGGTATTCTGAGGATTTGAGTATTGTGGAGTTCTAAGGATTTGAGGATTATGGTGTTTTGAGGATTGGAGTATTATGGTGTTCTGAGGATTTGAGGGTTTTGGTCTTTTGAAGATTTGAGGATTTTGGTGTTCTGAGGATTTGAGTATTATGGTATTCTGAGGATCTGAGTGTCACACTGTTCTGATAATTTGAGAGGTATGGTGTTTTGGGGATTTGAGGATGGTGGTGTTCTGAGAACCTAAGGTTTGTGGTGTTCTGAGAATTTGAGGATTATGGTGTTCTGAGGAGTATGTTGTTCTGAGGATTTAAGGATTATGGTGTGCTGAGCATTTGAGGATTATGGTGTCCTGAGGATTTTGTTTCACGACTTGAGTAGAGATTTAGAATGAAATGGACCACTTTGAAGTAAATCGTTGTGTGGAAACTATCATCCCGAATCGGCAGATTATTCCTCTGACGTCACGTCGCATACCCCCAAATCTACAAATGCAAAAAACTGCAATTTGCATTATTTTTCAAATTTCAGATATCGGGATTGTGTATACCTAATTGATTAAATGAATACCAAAGTCAAAATAAATTTAAGATAACCTTACAAGAAAAAATTCAGATACATGTTCAATGTTTATTAAGTATTACCGTTTTTACATTTTTATAACAATGTAATGAAACTAATTCCAACCAGAAAGGAGAATCTTGGCGCCTGAGAAGTCAACAAAAGCAAAATGTAAAAAATTACGTCGTGTTGTACGAAAAAAAAAATCTGAAAAACTAGAACTGAAATTTAGATGTAAACTATTTATTCACTGATATCTATATACTGATTTCATAGTAGGATACCTATATATGTGCAAACCCCACAATCATTGCATGCAACGCCATATACAGGGTAATCACTAACCCAGTAAGAAAACAAACAGCTCTAGCAGGCTGGCGAACAACATATACCGCATACACAATAGTATGGCCAATCCTGGCAATCACAAAAGTAAAGAACATAAGACAGGCCAACCACACCGGCGGTTTAGCAAAAAGAAAAACAAACGCAGTGGTCCAGAACAGCGGAATGTTCTCCAAATCATTCAAATGCGCTCTATAAATTCCACGATTAGTTTCTTAAAACGAAAAATCGTCACTCACCTTCTAACTCTTTCGACGTCGTCGTGGGTGTCGATTTGCCCCTTGTTGGTTTTGACGTCCTCCGGCGAAAGATATACCTAGCAAAATGGCGTCATATTTTTTCAATTTTTTGAAGTACTTACTTTGTGGACTTTGCGTTTGTAGGCGGTTAGTAGAGCAACTGCGATCATTTTTATCACCAGAATACAGGAACATACCATGTAGGCGCAAAAGGATGGGTTTTTTAGGGACAGAACTTCGCGAGGGGCGTGAGCCATGGTGGTGGAGTTGGTCATAGTTTTAACTATACTGCTATAAGATGAGGACAACTGAGTCTAAAATAGTGTCACGTCAATGGGGATGAATTTTTGATGAGTTTGAAAATCGATGATTGATTGTACAAGGGAGGATGGTCTGATGTATGTGAAGTTGATTACCTTCGATCGAAGGTTAGTTAAATGAGTAAAAGTTGATAAATAATTAAACAATACAAGAAAAAAGATGCTTTGAGTGTTCGGATAGGTATTGAAACCGATAGTGTGTTGGACTAAGATGAAGTTATTGATCTTTATATACGTGTCAATGTGACATTAAAAATGAATTAATCTGGCGTCACTGTCAATGACGACACTTTCTGAGAATTAATAAATATGTAAAGACCCTAACTTTCGTTGATCCAGCTAGAAACAACATGTCCTAAATTTTGACAACAAAGTTTGTGATCTTTTATTTCACGCTTCTACTAAATCTATGCACAACCCGTACACATTTTCTCATTACATTCAATCCAGCATTTCCGTCACCTACATTTTTCCACCAAAACAAAGCCCACGTTTCCAACATTTTTAAAATGCGACCCTCGAAACCTCCGGATTCGAGTCCAACAGAAACCGATCGGAATTCTTCAATCGAAATCATGTCACTCTGGTAGGCCCTGCTAATAATAATTTAAATAAGGCTTCGTCGGCATATACAATTTTGGCATCAAGAAACCAGCACACTTACTTTCTATCGGTACCGCTAGTGCGAACTAAGCAGTATAAATACTTAGGGTGTATCATTAATTTGCCATTCAACACTTGCGTTAGGTGCTATAACCATGAGGTTGTTAGTAGTTTGTGTAGTAGTTGCCAGTGTCGCAGCTTTTGGAAGCGCCGAAACACCAAACGACTTTCAAGTAACCAACCACTTTAGTACCATTTCAAAAACCCAATTTCTTCAGATTTCAGACTTTGTAGAGATCAAACGCAACGATGCGGTTAGTCGAGAAGCCAGAAGCAACTCGCTGGAAGACACAGTCGAGGACTACATGAAAACCCACGATTTCACCTTCAAACTACCATACATCGGTTCCACCCTGACTTTCGCTGGGCGAAATCTGGACCAAGATGAAGTCGATGTGAAGCTGCGCTTCGAAGACGGTCAAGTCGACGGTACTCACACCTACCGCTTTTTTGTCTTATCTTTATCTAACTGTTTTAACCCCTAGCTCGCAAGAAGAAATCCAAACTGAAGAAAATCTTCGTTCCGATCTTCGTTTTCATTTTAATCAAGGCCATGGTTATGATTCCGTTAGCTCTTGGTATTCTTGCCATCAAGACGTGGAACGCATTGCAATTGTCGTTCGGCTCGTTTGTGGTGGCTTTGGCGTTGGCGGTGTGGCAGTTGTGTAAGAAGGTGGCTGGTGACCATATTCACCCACACATTGTGGCTGCCCATGCCCCCTGGGAGGATCCGCACCATGTGGTGGCCAGGTCTTCGGGAGACGAAGTGCAGAGGATGGCGTATTCGGCGTATGCGCCCAACGTGTGATATTTTTGTTGAATGTATTTATTTATTGTTGAAGTTGCTCAAAAAGATTGGAAAATAAAAAAGTTTCGGAAAAAAAAAATTGCTTGGTGATTTCTTCCTCCTATTTGCAAAACTAAAAAATACAGTATTTTAATAAGATAATATTTTTTAACAAACAGTATTTTTTTATTGATAGTGTTTAGCTACAGATAGAAAAAAGTCAAAAACATGTAATAATTAAAAAAAAAAAATAGGGTGTGATAATACGGCATTAGCCAACAATTAACCTACAAAATTTTATCTATAGCTTTAATTAAATAAATGACAAATTTAATTTATTATCAAGGGTAGGACACGTGGAATGGACAAATTTATTTTCAGTGCAAAATTGAGGTAGTAGTAACCAACGTGACCCAGAAACAATTCTAAAAGGCTTCTAAGGGGAAAATAGAAAGTTATAAATTTCGACTTCCGTTCGAAATAACACTTAAAGAAATAAGTACTTGTCATGAATTCAAAAAGGTTTTGGAGGAATTTTGTTTGACAACAAAAAAAGCAGAAGATGTATTTACAAGAATCTAAAATATACATAATCAAAAATTATCTGGCCAATAAAATGTGCAACAAACAGCAGATGACGATAAAATCTTTTCATATAAAAACAAATCAAATTAAAAAAAAAAATGTTTACTGTCTATTTTTAACTTTGGCAACAAATTTTACATTAAATTTATTACTAAGAAATAGTCAATAAAAAGAAAAAAATGGAAACAATGCACATAAAAAATAAATAATACGAATTCTTCGACAAAGAAAAAGAATATAATAGCAGACAACTAATTTGAAAATTTTTAGAGAAAAGTGTATTCTGTATTCAAGAAAATATTGTTATTTTATAAAAAAATAGTCGAAGGTTATTTCAGAACATTCCTCCCCTGAAGTACAGCCGAACCAATCCAAATCCTTTTTTTTTAATATAAAAATTGTAAAACAAGTTTAAATTTCCCAATTTTTCCATTTTCCAACTTTTGAATTTAGCAATTTTTCGATTTAAAATTTCTAAAATTTTTCTTCGGCTTTAAAATTTTGACGCTTTTATAATTTTTAGATTTTGCAATTTTTTGTATTCCAATTTTTTGGTTTTCCAATTTTTCGATTTACAATTTTTCGAATTACCACTTTTTCGATTTTGCAATTTCTTGTGTCTTCAGTTTTTGGATTTTTCAACTTTTCGAAACAAAAAAATTGCGAAATCTTGAAATTCAAAAATGAAATTACGAAAAAGTATAAAACGAAAACTTGGAAGAGTCTAAAAAATGGAATTCAAGAAGTTGCCAAATTGAAGAAACGAAAAATTGGAAAATCGAAAGATGAAAGATTGGAAAAGTTCAAAATCGAGAAAACAAAACATTGCACAAGCGAAATAGTGAAAATTAAAGAAATCGGAAAATCGAATTATGGAGAAATCCAAAAATTGCAAAGTTAAAAAAAATAAAAATTAGGAAATCAAGGAATACCTAATTGAAAAATTGAAAATTTTCGACCCATCAATGTTACATTTCCTCGACTTTAAAATTTTGACGTTTCTGTAATTTTTCGATTTTACTATTTCCCAATTTTTCGATTTGATTCGTTTATTCTTCTTTTCAATTTTTCGATTCTTAGTTTTCTGTTTCAATTTTTCACTTCTTCAGTTTTTCGAATTGCAATTTTTCGATTTTGCAATTTCTCATTTCTTCAGTTATTGGATTTTTCAACTTTTTGAATAAAAAAGATTGATAAATTGCAAAATTGTGAAATTGAAAAAATTAAAAAGTATAAAATGAAAATTCTGAAAACTAAAAATGAAAATCAAAAGCTTGAAAAATCCAAGCATCGGAAAATCGAAAAATCGAAAGGTTAAAAATTGAGAAATTTGGAAGTCGAAAAGGTGCAAAATTCAAAAAAAGAAATATGTATTGTAAAAGCGAAATATTGAAAACTAAAGAAATCGGAAAATAGAATAATCGAGAAATTCAAAAATTTCAAAATTGAAAAATCGAGGAATTGAAAAATTAAAGATTGAAAATTTGATAGTTTTTTTTTTTTTTGTTTCTTCTATTTTACGGTATTCGAGTTTTCATTTTTAAATTTTTCAGTTTTTCGATTTTCCAACTTTTGGATGTTTCACTTTTTAGATTTTGCATTTTTTCGATTTGCAGTTCCACGAGTTTTCAATTTTTAATTTTTCAATTTTTTGTGTCTTCAATTTTTCGATTTGCAATTTTTCGTTCCCGTTTTATATTTTCTTAATTTTTCAATTTTTCGTTTTTTTTAGATGTTCTCATTTTATAATGTTTCCTTTTTTCAATGTGAATTTCCTTTGTCCATATCGTTCTTCGTCCTTTTCGTCGTTCGTCCTTTTCGTCCTTCATCCTTCGTCCCTCGTCCTTTTCGTCCTTTTCGTATCTTTCGTCCTTCGTCCTTTTGTCTTTCGTTCTTTTCATCCTTCGTCGTTTTCGGCCTTCGTCCTTTTCGTCTTTCATCCATATCGTCCTTCGTCCATATCGTCCTTTTCGTCTTTCGTCCTTCTTCCTTTTCGTTTTTCGTCTTTTTCGTCTTTCGTCCTTTTCGTCCTTCGTCCTTTTCGTCCTTCGTCCTTCGTCCTTTTCGTCTTTCGTCTATATCGTCCTTCGTCCTTTTTGTCCTTCGTCCTTTTCGTCCGATTCGTCCTTTTCGTCTTTCGTCCTTCGTCCTTTTTGTCCTTCGTCCTTTTCGTAATTCGTCCTTTTCGTCGTTCGTCTTTTTGCGTCCTTCGTCGTTTTCGTCCTATTCGTCCTTCGTTTTTTCGTCCTTCGTCCTTTTCGTCTTTCGCCCATATCGTCCTTCGTCCATATCGTCCTTCGTCCTTTTCGTCTTTTGTCCATATCGTCCTTCGTCTATATCGTACTTCGTCCTTTTCGTCTTTCGTGCTTTTCGTCTTTCGTCCTTTTCGTCTTTCGTCCATTTCGCCTTTCGTCCTTTTCGTTTTTCGTCCTTTTCGTCTTTCGTCCTTTTCGTCCTTCGAACTTTTGGTCCAGCATTCCAACTTTTGCAGTTCCACGAGTTTTCAATTTTTAATTTTTCAATATTTTGTGTCTTCAATTTTTCGATTTGCAATTTTCGTCTCCGTTTTTTATTTTCTTAATTTTTCAATTTTTCGTTTTTTAAATGTTCTGATTTTATAATTTTTCCTTTTTTCAATGTGAATTTCCTTCGTCCATATCGTCCTTCGTCCTTTTCGTCCTTTGTCTATTTCGTCTTATTCGTCCTTTTCGTCTTTTCCGTCCTTCGTCCCTCTCGTCCTTCGTCCTTCGTCCTTTTCGTCTTTCGTCGATATCGTCCTTAGTCCATATCGTACTTCGTCCTTTTCGTCTTTCGTCCATTTCGTCTTTCGTCCTTCGTCCTTTCCGTTCTTCGTCCTTTTAGTCCTATTCGTCCTTTTCGTCCTTTTCATCCTTCGTCTTTTTCGTCTTTCGTCCTTTTCGTACTTCATCCTTTTCGTCTTTCATCCATATTATCCTTGGTCCTTTTTGTCCTTCGTCCTGTTCGTCCTTTTCGTCCTTTTCGTCCGATTCGTCCTTTTCGTGCTTTTCGTCCTTTTCGTCTTTCGTCCATATCGTTTTTCGTCCATATTGTACTTCGTCCTTTTCGTCTTTCGTCCTTTTTGTCTTTCGTCCATTTCGTCTTTCGTCTTTCGTCCTTTTCGTCCTTCGTCTTTTTGCGTCCTTCGTACTTTTCGTCCTATTCGTCCTTCGTTTTTCCGTACTTCGTCCTTTTCGCCTTTCGCCCATATCGTCCTTCGTCCATATCGTCCTCCGTCCATATCGTCCTTCGTCCATGTCGTCCTTCATCCATATCACCCTTCGTCACTTTCATCTTTCGTTCCTTTCGTCTTTCGTCCTTTTCGTCCTTTTGCTTCCTTCATCCTTTTCGTCCTTCGTCCTTATCGTCCTTCGTCTTTTCCGTCCTTCGTTCTTCGTCCTTTTCGTCCTTTGTCCTTTTCGTCCTTCGTCCTTTTCGTCCTTCGTCCTTTTCCTCTTTCGTTCCTTTCGTCTTTCGTCCTTCGTCCTTTTCGTCTTTCGTCTTTTTCGTCCTTTTCGTCCTTTTCGTTTTTCGTCATTTTCGTTTTTCGTCCATTTCGTCTTTCGTCCTTCGTTCTTTTCGTCCTTCGTCCTTTTCGTCTTTCGTCCGTTTCGTCCTTCGTCCTTTTGGTCCAACATTCCAACTTTTGGATGTTTCACTTTTTAAATTTTGCATTTTTTCGATTTGCAGTTCCACGAGTTTTCAATTTTTAATTTTTCATTTTTTTGTATCTTCAATTTTTCGATTTGCAATTTTTCGGCTCCGTTTTTTATTTTCTTAATTTTTCAATTTTTCGTTTTTTAAATGTTCTGATTTTATAATTTTTCCTTTTTTCAATGTGAATTTTTAAGATTTTTAGAGTTCTTAGTTTTTCTTTTTTTTCAATTTTATATTTTCCAATTTTTCGATTTTTCGTTTTTTCGTTTCTTCAATTTAGGATTTGCAAATTTTTATTTTAAATATGTAATACCAATAATATGTAACTATAATTTTTAAAAATTTTCACTTGTCGAATTTTACGATTTTGGAATTATTGTTGTATTTCAAAATTTTTTCATTTATTCGATTTTTCAATTTTTCGATCTTACAGTTTTTGGATTTTCCACTTTTTCCACTCAAATCGTTTTTTCTTCTTTCCAGTTTTTTTATTCATTTTTTTTTTTCGATATTTAAGTTTCTCAGTTTTGAGTTTTTCAATGTTTAAGTTTTTCATTTCTTTAGTTCTTTGATTTCCAATTTTTCGATTTTCCACTTTTTTTCAGTTATTCGTTTTTTCAACTTTTCGAATAAAAAAAGAATGATGAAAAATTGCTAAATTATAAAACCGTAAAATCAAAAATTAAATTACGAAAAACTATGAAACGAAGACTTTTTAAAAATCTAAAAACTGGAAATCAAGACCTTGAAAAATAGGAAAAACGAAAAATTGAGAAACTTAGAAACTAAAAAAGTGCAAAATAGAAAAATTTTAATATTGGAAAGTAGAGAAACTGGAAAATCATAGACTGAAAACTTGAAAAATTGACTGAACGAAGAATTATAAAATCGAAAGAAACATTGAAAAAGTAAAGAGAATGAAGAAACGAAAAATGCGATATAAAATCGAAAAAATGGAAATTAAAAAATCGCGAAAACAAAAAATTAAAATCAAGAACTTGAAAAATTGTGATATCGAAAAATGAAAAACTGAAAATCGAAAAATTGGAGAAACGAAAAATTTATAAATTTGGAAGAAAATTTGAAAAAATGTAAATCCAGTATGTAACATTAAAGTCAATCAAAGGAGTCGTTCTTGATTTCAATCAATGTAAGAAACTGAATCGTTTATTTAAATTCTTTGAGTCACTGTATAAGTAATTCTAAAATCTATAAGCGCATTGACTTATCATGATTACGATAACCTCAAAAGGTTTGCAAGATTTCAGAGAATTCAGTGTTGCAGTTTCAAAGTTAAATTGCAAAATGTTGTTGTACAATTTTGATTTTTTTCAAAAAATCTGGATTCCTAAGGTAAAAACTGAACACCGATTCATGCACTACATATGAAGGATTATCTTATTTTATAAAATTGAAATAGTATTCACTAAAGTAAAGTTTGGAGATGACGTCATGCTATTATTTATTCTTTTTTATTTTATTCAAATTTTGGTGAAAGTTTTACAATCAACGCGATATTCATTAATAGACGTATAAAATTTGACAACAATCGGTCCAGTAGTTTCGAAATTATCTGTCTAACAAAAATTCGCACAGACGGCAGACAGACAGACAGACGGAGAAAACATAAAAGTAGACAGTCGTCCAATGGACTCGATTACAATGCTTTTTTTAGTTTTTTAAGTAAAAATAAACTTCAAGTTCAATGGCATTCTTGCGGACTTTAAATCCCAGTGAAACCAACTCAAAACAAACACAACACGCTTTCAATCACCTAAAAATTCCTCCGTTCACAAAACCACGCGATTTGAATAAACCAACTCTTTACTCTCCAAACATGTTTCCAATTTACTTAAACACCAGCCCATTCCGCATACAAAAATCCCGATATTCCCAATAGATAACCCCTCAGATCTCAAAACTGAAAGCATTCCAATGAAATGAAACTCCGCTCCACATCCTGAAAAAATTTCAACAACTTCCTCTAGACTGCCTTCCCTATCGAGACACGGATTCACTAGCGGAACCGAGCCATAAAAGCTCTTACTATTTAGGTACGAATTAAAAATCAAAACACAAGCGATCCCCTGACCGCCATTGTCCGCTATATAACCGCGCCCACAACCATCATCAGCATTCATTAGCGAAATGTGGCGGTTGGTACTAGTTGTCTTGGCCTTGGGTGCTAGTGCCCAAAAAGCTAGCCCAAAAACGGGCGACGAATTAGTGTCCACAGTTTTGGAAAACTGCAGTGAAATGGACTGTGTGAAAAGCAGCGTCCTGGCGTACTTGGACAACCTCCTGAAGATAGAAAGTGATGCCAGAAAGGCCAAGGTGACACAATGAAAATTGTTGACGCTGTTTGAAAATTAGTTTTCAGAATATCGACGCTGCGATTTTCAAAAGAGCCGCCAAAGTGCTGAGATCGCAGGAGTTTAGGCTGAAGCTTCCCGAGATGCTTTTCGATAAAACCGAGCTAGTGTACAACCCGAGGACTGGACTGGATGTAGCTTCAACTGACTCAGAATGTAAGTTCATTTTTTTTTGTTTTTCACGCTTTTTTTAAAATTTGAAATTGTGTTTCAGCTCGAGGTCTCCTCAAGAAGAAGCTCCTCCTTCCATTCCTTCTCCTCTTGAAACTGAAAATGAAAGCTCTCATGCCTATCTTGGTTGCTATTATCGGTGTGAAAGCTCTGAAAGCTTTAATTTTGAGCAAACTGGCCATTCTGATCGTTCTTGGTTTTATTGTTTACCAGTTTATTGGTAAAAGTGGTATGCCGATGCCTCTACAGATGACGCCTGCTGAGCCTCCAGCACCCATGTATGGGCCTCCGTCTACTCCTCCACCCAGTTCGTACGAACCAGGATGGGAACCCAATACTGGAGGGCCTTATTCCAGAGTCTGGTCAAACGATAATTCCGCCCAGAACTTGGCTTATTCGGCGTATTTTCCTGGAGCGTCTAGTTCCTCCACCACTCGTCCTTAATTGTTGATGAAATTAATTTATTTATTGTTGCACTGTTGGTTAATAAATTATTTTGTACATAGTGTTGAAAATATAGTTAAATTTTGTAAAATAACGTACCTATAACCTTGGCGTCCAGATTTTTGACAAAAAAAATCAAAATTAACGCAAGAACTGCGAAATCGACTGCCCAGAAATCTTTAATCTTCTTCAAAAATTCGATGACGTCATCACAAAATCTTATAAAATACACAGTTTTTAAAAGTACTTATACAGAGTGGCTCAAAAAAATTAACAAACGAGGTAATTTATTTTATTAATTAAATCAGGAACGACTCATTTCATTTTCTGGAAAATTTGGGAATACAGCACTGTTATTATTAGTATTATACCGCAGCTATCCAAATTGATACAAGTATACTCGCAAAAATGTTGATGACGTCATCACGAAATTTTGTAATGGAAAAACTCACTTGAAACAAACGCATATTTGTTTAAGTTACTTTAATATTACATATATCTATATCTTAACTTACAATGGTCATCATTAAAAATAAAAGTCGCAGAATCAAATCTTATAATTTTTCCAAAAATCTGGAGTTATTTACCATCCACTAATTTTTTTATACCATAATTTTTCCTTCTTTCATTTGTCCTTTTTATCATTTCTCAGTGTTTCGCTTTCATAATTTATCGTTTTTCAACTTTAATTTTTCCAGTTTTTCAATTTTTCGGTTTTAAAATTTTTCATTTTTCGTTTCTTCAATTTTTCGATAGTACAATTTTTTATTTTTCGATTTTTCAGTTTCTCAGATTTTAATTTTTGGTTGTTTCATTTCCCTTATTTTTCAATGTTTCTTTCAATTTTGCAATTTTTCGTTTTCCAATTTTTAAATTTTTCAAAGTTTACATTTTATATTTTTTCTTAATTTCATTTTTGACTTTTCAACTTTACAATTTTGGAATTACTCCATTTTTTTATCGAAAAGTTGAAAAATCGGAAAAAATGAACCATCAGTAAACCGAAAAAGCGAAAAATCGAAAAAATTTTAGGAATCGACAAATTAGAAAGAAAAAACGAATCGAATGTAAAAATTGGAAACCCAAATTGATAAACTGCAAGACCGAAAAGTTACAAAATCGAAAAATTGTAAAAATGAAAGATCGAGAAATTGAAAAACCAAAAATCTAAAAACTGAAATATGGAATAAATGAAAAAGTTTTAAAATAATAATATCAATAATAATAATAATAATAATAATCTTTATTTACCCAACAGATTAGAAAATCCAATTAAAGGACAAAAAAATCCAACAATTGAAAAATTTTAAAATTGTAAAATTGAAAAGTGAAAAATTTTTAAAATTATAATTATGTACATAATACAAATTTAAAATTAAAACGAGAAAAATTGCTAATCATAAATTGAAATAACGAAAAATTGAAAAATCGAGAACCGAAAAAATCTGAAATTGAAAAAACGAAAAATTAAAAAAGCTGAAATGTGAAAAATCGAAAAATTGAAAAATTTCATGTTGAAAAAAGAGAAATTACAAAATCCGAACATTTAAAAAAAGAAAAATTGAAAAAATAAGGAAAAGAAAAAACGGAATCGAAAAATTGAAGACACGAAAAATTGAAAAATGAAAAATAGAAAGAAACTGCAAAAGTTGGAAAATCGAAAAACTGAAAAATTTAAAAATGAGAACTCGAATATGTACCGTAAAAGTGAAGAACCAAAAACAATGAAAAACCGAAAAATTTCATATCGAAAACATAAAAAATTAAAAACTCGAAAAACTCAATTCAAAAAATTGCGAAATCTAAAAACTGAAATATTCAAAAGTTGGAAAATCGAAAAATTGAAAAATTTTACCTTGTAAAAAAAATTATAAAATCACCACATTTAAAAAACGAAAAACTGGAAAAACTGGAAAAAATAAAGAAAATACAGAAAATAAAATACGGAAACGAAAAATTGCAAATCGAAAAATTGACGACGAAACATTGACGACGAAAATTGGGAAAGCGAAAAATTGAAAAATCGCAAATTGAAAAATTGCAAAATCTAAAAAATTAAACATCCAAAAGTTGGAAAATCAAAAAATTGAAAAATTTCACATTGAAAAAGAGAAAAATTATAAAAACAGAACATCTAAAAAACGAAAACTTGAAAAAAATAAAGAAAACAAAATACGGAAACGAAAAATTGCAAATCGAAAAATTAAAGACACGAAAAATTGAAAAATGGAAAAAATGAAAAAATTAAAAATTGAAAACTCCTGAAAAACTGCAAATCAAAAAATTCTAAAATCTAAAAAATTAAACATCCAAAAGTTCGAAAATCGAAAAACCGAGATATTCAAAAATGAAAACCCGAATAACGGGAAATTGAAGAAACAAAAAAAATGAAAAACCGAAAAATTTCAGATCGAAAACTTGAAAAATTAAGAACTGAAAACTCAAGAAACTAAAATCGAAAAATTGCAAAATCTAAAAACTGAAAAATTCAAAAGTTGGAAAATCAAAAAATTTAAAAATTTCACATTGAAAATAAGAAAAAGTATAAAATCAGAACGTTTAAAAAACGATAAAATTGAAAAAATAAAAAAAATAAAAAACGGAAACAACAAATTGCATATCGAAAAATTGTAAAATCCAAAATTGAATAATTTAAAAGTTGGAAAATCGAAAAACTGAAACATTTAAAAATGAAAACTGGAATACTGTAAAATTAAAGAAAGAAAAAAAATTAAAAACTCAAAAATTGCAAATCCAAAATTTGAAAAATTAAAAACTGAAGACCTGAGAAACTCAAATCGAAAAACTAAAAAATTCAAAATTTGGAAAATTGAAAATATGAAAAATTTCACATTGAAAAAAAAATATATAAAAACAAACACTTAAAAAACGAAATTATAAAAAACAAATAACAGGAACAAAAAATTGCAAATCGAAAATCTGAAGTCACGAAGAATTGAAAAATAAAAAAATAAAAAAATTAAAAATTGAAAACTCGTCAAACTGCAAATACAAAAATTGCAAAATTTAAAAAAAGTGAAACATCCAAAAGTTGGAAAATCAAAAAACTGAAGAATTTGAAAATGAAAACTCGAATACAAAAGAAACAAAAAAATGTAAACCTGAAAAATTGCAGATTAAAAACGTGAAAAATTAACAACTGAAAATTCGAGAAAATCAAATCGAAAAATTGCGAAATATAAAAACTGAAAAATTCAAAAATTGGAAAATCGAAAAATTGAAAAATTTTACATTGGAACATAATACGAACATTTAAAAAACGAAAAAATGAAAAAATTAAGAAAATAAAAAAAGGAACCGAAAAATTGAAGACACAAAAAATTCAAAAATGGAAAATTGTAAAACTGAAAATTGAAAACTCGAGAAACTCAAATCGGAAAACTGAAAAATTCAACATTTGGAAAATTGAAAAATTGAAAACTCGTGGAATTGCCAATCTAAAAATGGCAAAAAATAAAACATCCAAAATTTGGAAAATCGAAAAACCGAAAAATTTAAAAATGAAAACTCGAATACCGTAAAATTAAAGAAACAAAAAAAAAATAAAAAACTTAAAAATTGCAAATGGAAAACTTGAAACATTAAAAACTGAAAACTCGAGACACTCAAATCGAAAAACTGAAAAGTTGAAAACTCGTGGAACTGCCAATCGAAAAATTACAAAATATCGAATAACGCTAAAACCTTAAAATTGAAGAAACAAAAAAAAATGAAAAATAGAAAAATTGCAGATCAAACAATTGAGAAGTTAAAAGCTGAAAACTCGAAAACTCAAATCAAAAATTGTAAAAACTGAAAAATTCAAAATTCGGAAAACTGAAAAAGTGAAAAATTTAAGCTTAAAACTGGAAAAAGTGCAAATCGAAAAACTGACGAAACGAAAAAAAACAATTGCGGGAGTGTTGTTTACGCTATTGGTTTTTACTTTATAATAGAGGTACCAAAAATCAAAAATCGCAAAAAAATTGTAGAAGTATAATTTTTCAAAGAAGCGGAATTTGTTGAGTTGCACTTCGGGGGCGAGGGAAGTTCTGTCGAAATAACCGTCGACCAATTTTTCAGAAATGTTTGTAATAAAGAGTGACTCAAAAATTTAATGAATGAACCAATGATCTTACTGCTTAAATTAAGAGCGCTTACCTCATTTCGTCGAAATTTTGAATATACAGTCAAATTTATACGATACCGATCCTTGTCAAAAGTTGATCACAAAATTTTATTATGAAAAACTCACTTAAAAACTTAAAAACTGCCCAAATTTTACTGTCAAAGTTTCAAAAATAAAATTCGATTGTACCGCCAGATTTTTTGTACACTAACGTGTAGTTACTAATAGAGTTAGAAAGGTGTGCTGTGTCATTCTAGATTTTCGAGTGCTAAGTGGTAATTTTTTGGTTAATTCAGCATCTGTGTAAATTTTTGTAGTCGCAGTGATTGAACTGAAAGAATTTATCGACGTGTTTGAATATCTCCACAGAACATTAACCTCTTTTAAGGTGACGTAGTACCAATTCAGTAATTAAAAAATTACTAGTTCTTTAACCAGTAGTGACAACTTGAATATTTTTTCACATTGTAGGAATTCTATTCGCAGGAATGTAATTCTACACTCATAGCATACGCCGCCATCTACCGCCCAGCGTCCCAACCGTCCCACTTTCCCTACAGACCCCTACTCCTCTCTCTCGCACCGCACAACTAATATTATCACCTAAAAATTTCCTCCCACTCTTCAATGCATCTGCTATTTCTTAAAATGCTGAAATCCGCCGCATAAAAACAACCAGTACACCAGTACTAAGCACAGCAGGCGCCATGTCGGACAAAGGGTAACCCCTCAGCCTTTCCCACCGCTCCCCTAACAATTTTTTTTCAGACCACCGCAAACCAAAGTAGTAGTGGAGACCTCCCTCCAGTCCCCCGACTACGACGGCCTCCTCCTCGTCTCTTCGCCACCCCTGGCGCTAAAAGCCGCCGCCTTGGCCAAAACGCTGAAAGCGGCGATCGCCCTAGACCCGGCCCTGGAATCGGAAGTCGCCGTGCTGCCCCTCCCGGACCTGCCCGCCAAGCGCCTCGTTCACGCGCCAACCGGAAAAATCGACCCGGACTACCACGACGTCAGGGTGTTCCGGGACGCCGCCGTCAAGGGGATGCAGAGGGCGCTGAAGGCGGGCATCACAAGGCCGCTTCTGGTGCTCGAGGAGGACCCGGCGTTCGAAAACTCCGAGCTGGTCACGCTGCTCGGAGCGCTCCAGGCGGTTTATGTGGTAAGGGTTTTCCGGCGGAGAGGAGTTTGTTTTAAGGTTAAAATGTGAAGTAGGCGGATTTGTATTTACTTAATGATAAAATTATTAGTTGTTTCTGGGTTATGACACTTATCAAAGGTTCAAGTGTTTGTTTTATCGCAGTTTTGCAGGCTGTGGGGAGCAAAGCTAGTGGGAATTGCATTATGGAGTTTAGTTTAATGCATAATTAATGTATAACCTTGGCGGGTCGTTTTCCTAATGATGTATTGTTTAGAGGAGTTCTTGGGTTTTTTTTTTTAGACATTTGCATTTTTGTCGTTGGTTGTCTGTGTGGTTATTTTTCCGGAGGTGGTTTCTAATTTTTGCAAGAAATTCTATATCTCGTTTTGGGTCTACATTACAAAACAATCAATTTCCAAAACGTATAGCTCTAAATTTCCTCACAATATTCTAATTAAAAATCAATTTTGTTGAATGCGTCATCCTTCCTGAAAGATATGGTGCAAGATGACGCATGGCATTGACGATACATTAAAATAGTGGGAGCCTCGAGTATGCTATTTATTGTTACAAGAGTATATATTTTTTAGCTAAATTTCAGCTGTTTTTTCAGTTTAAAGTGATATTTCAAAACAAGTCTTTTCAGGTATTTTAAATCCCTGCAGAGGTAATGATGACGTTTAAATGACGTCGAAAAATTCAGAAATCGTAGTAGGCGCTTACCATTGTCAATAAAATTAATTCGTTGCTCGGGGCAACAAACCTTGTATCGGACCGGATATGAAACTGTATAATAACTAAACGTTCAAACGTAGAACTAAATAGATAAACTCCTAAGAACTCACAAGTATTTTTGAAATTTAGTTAAACATTTTTAGAATCATGATGTTTTAAAAGCACTTTTGGGCATAGAGAAGATATATCTCGGATACTAACTCCTCTTCAAAAATTACTTGCTAATTTTGTCACTTTCCTTAACCTCTTTTCAAAGCCTGTTTCATAATAAACTTTCTCTGCCGCACTTAACAGAAGATTCTTCTATAACCGTAAATGCAAAAATGCATTCTTTGTGGTTTCCTTTCTTGAATGTTAGCAGCTGCCAAGCTTTTAATAATTTATTTCATATCTGTGTGTATTTTTTTTTAACAATCAATAATGTTTTCAGTGATCATTGTTAATTAATGTTTTACTATAACGTTAAAAAAATGTTGCTGTTACGACCAGCAGGACTGGAACGTCGCAATATACAATGGTATATTTCCAAAAATATTTATCAAAGATAAAATATATAACGTGTCATAAAGAGCTTGGTACAACATTTTCTGATAACTCAATGTTGGATTAGTTATCAATGGTAATCCGAGTCTACAAACTGTGTTAAATATAGCCTGAACAGCATAGTAAATATTTAGCTTAGAATAAATAGATTTTAGAGGTCAAATGTTATCTTAACTAGGTGGCTGGAGTGTAGGATTAAATTCACTTAAATGTTTCTTCATTTAAACATGTGGTTGCTGTTCAAGTTAAAAACATTGGCGTTCACAGAATTTCAAACTGAAAACGAGTGAAAAATGATTAATGAAACCGTTGTGATAAAATCATGTAAATAAGGACTGGTATCAATTCATAAAAAAATCTAAATTTTTAATGAATTTCCTGTTAAATTTATGCTTATACTTATTTTTAGTTTCCTGTTTCAATGACCCTGAAAGTATTAAACTGACCGTTAGAAACAGTTTTGGTTGCAAATTTGACAATATGATATGCAAATATGCTAGGAAATAAAGAATTGTTAACAAAAAGTTTTAATGCCGTCTATAATATCGGTGATTTTTAAATTTCCGATCTAGTTGGCCATGGTGTTTACGTTAGCCGCTGACGTATGCTGTGTCGGATTAAGAACATGGGGGTCCACTGGGAAATTTACAAACGGGGATTCTGTGGTAATTAATATCCTTGCAACTCCGGCTATATTTAAAGCAGATAATTAACAGGAAAAAGTAAGACATGCTTAACTTCGACTGTTTATGTTTATATTTCGACCGAATTCGACTTTGAGCACGTTCAGATATCTAATATTAAAAAAGGGCCAATCAGTAGTAACTCAAAAGGTACGTTTCACCCCACATTTTGTTTTTGAATTTATTATAAGGTGCTTTATCATTTTATTTTTTTTTTTTAAGAAAACAGGCCACTTTTGACGTTGAAGAGGTTTATTTTATTTTTTGTAAAAACCTCAAAGGCAGCGGTCTCTATAAATCTATAACCTTTTAAAAAATAACCATAAAAATCGCGTGAAATGTAAAAAATGCATTTAAAAAAAACTTCACGACAAAAATTGACTTTTATTTAAATCAATAAAGAACTTCAACGTCAAAATTGGCCTGCGTGCTTATAAAAAATGATGCAGTACATTAAAATAGATGAAAAAAAGAAGAAAAAAAAGCTTCAATAGATGAAAAAAAAAACAATGTGGGGTGAAACGTAGCATTTTACTTTCTACTGATTTCAATTTAGAAATTTCATCTAATAAAACGTCCGAAAAAATTAGTACATACTTAAGATAAGACTGATTTTGGAAAATGATATACTCTCTGAGAAAATAGAGGGTGGGTGGGCGGGGCTAGTTCTTCTTAAGATACGACTGATTTTGGAAAATGGCATATCGTCCATGAAAATAGGGGTTAATAGTCATTTTTGTTTTTAAGGGCCATGTCTAGGATAAAAACTTAACAGGGATTCATAAACCACATGTGTTTTTGTAAAATTTAACTATTATTTACTATTGTAAATTTTGGAGATGACGTGACAAATTATTGGTAGGGATGATTAGCCAAATTTTGATCATCTATACGATATTCGTAATACACATATAAAATTTAACAACTGGTTCAGTAGTTTCGGAGATTATCTGTCTAATAAAAATTCGGACAGACGGCAGACAGACAGACATACAAACAGATATGTCATGGCCCACTAGGGTAGAAACTTAAAAAAATCATACGGTATAACATTAAACAAAATTACAAAAACTAACGTTGCATGAGCATTATACTCACCGACTTATCTCGGAAAAAATATCAGTTTTATCAGTAGGGTATGTTGGCATGTACAATTTCTAATTAGTGGTGTCACGTCCAGTAAGATTCCACTGATAAACAAATTTTGGTTAACGAACCTGTTAACGTTTTAATATAATTTTTGTTACACTATTTCTTCATGGAACTGTAGAAATTGATATATTTCATATCGCGATTTTGGAAAAACGAAAGAAATTTTCAAAGAAACGAAGCTTAAAATGACTTCTGGTTGTCGAAAGCTACAAGAAAATGTCTAGCTAATTTTGGAAAATGGTTGAAAAATGGTCAAAAATGTCAAAAGTGTCAAAATCAAAATAATAGCCCCGCCCACCCACCCTCTATTTTCTTGGAAGATATGACATTTGCCGAAAACAGTTTTGTCTTATCAAGTACTAGCCCCGCCCACCCGTCCTCTGTTTTCTTAAAGTGTATGTCATTTGCCAAAATCAGTTTTATCTTAGCAAGTACTAGCCCCGCCCACCCCCAGTCTTCTCATTCTAAAGATTAATTTTATTTCTGTAAAGTATAAGATCATTTATTTATTCAGACCGGATAAAATTAATCACTGAAATGAAAGCCGGGTGGATGGGTGGGGCTACTTATGTTGTCCTATGGAGTGGAATCGGAAACTAATAGAATATAGGATGTGAAAAAAGTAAAAAAAAGCGCTCACCATAAATTGTTTGTAAGACTATTCTGGCGATTTTGGAAAAGCGATAGAAATTTTCAAAGAAACGAAGCTTAAAATGACTTCTGGTTGTCGAAAGCTACAAGAAAATGTCTAGCTAATTTTGGAAAATGGTTGAAAAATGGTCAAAAATGTCAAAAGTGTAAAAATCAAAATGCTAGCCCCGCCCACCCACCCTCTGTTTTCTTGGAAGATATGACATTTGCCAAAAACAATCTCGTCTTATCAAGTACTAGCCCCGCCCACCCGCCCTCTGTTTTCTTAAGTATGTCATTTGCCAAAATCAGTTTTATCTTAGCAAGTACTAGCCCCGCCCACCCCCAGTCTTCTCATTCTAAAGATTAATTTTATTTCTGTTAAGTATAAGATCATTTATTTCATTCAGATCGGATAAAATTAATCACTGAAATGAAGGTCGGGTGGGTGGGCGGGGCTAATTATGTTCGTCTATTGAGTGGAAGTGGAAACTAATAGAATCTAGGATGTCAAAAAAGTAAAAAAAGCGCTCACCGTAAATGTTTTGTTATACTATTTGCTAATGGAACTGTAAAAATTAATATGTTTCAACTAGCGATTTTGGAAAAACGATAGAAATTTTCGAAGAAACGAAGCCTAAAATGACTTCTGGTTGTCGAAAACTACAAGAAAATGTCTAGCTAATTTTCGAAAATCTTTGAAAAATGGTCAAAAATGTCAAAAGTGTCAAAATCAAAATGCTAGCCCCGCCCACCCGCCCTCTATTTTTTTGGAAAATATGTCATTTGCCACAAAGAGTCTTATCTTATCAAGTAGTAGCCCCGCCCACCCTCCCTGTGTTTTCTTAGGGGCTATGTCATTTGCAAAAATCAGTTTTATCTTAGCAACTACTAGCCCCGCCCACCCCCAGTCTTCTCAGTCTAAAGATTAATTTTACTTTTGTTAAGTATTAGATCACTGATTTCATTCAGACCGGATAAAATTAATCACTGAAATGAAGGCCGGGTGGGTGGGCGGGGCTAATTATGTTATTATGATATTATGTGGATACTAATAGAATCTAGGATGTGAAAAAAAGTAAAAAAAAGCGTAACCGTAAATATTTTGTTATACTATTTGCTAATGGAACTGTAAAAATTGATATATGTAATTCAACTGGCGATTTTGGAAAAACGATAGAAATTTTCGAAGAAACGAAGCCTAAAATGACTTCTGCTTGTCGAAAGCTGCAATAAAATATCTAGCTAATTTTCTAAAATGGTTGAAAAATGGTCAAAAATGTCAAAAGTGTCAAAATCAAAATGCTAGCCGCGCCCACCCGCCCTCTATTTTCTTGGAAGATATGTCATTTGCCAAAAACAGTCTTATCTTATCAAGTGCTAGCACCGCCCACCCGCCCTCTGTTTTCTTAGAAGATATGTCATTTGCCACAAACAGTTTTGTCTTAGCAAGTATTAGCCCCACCCACCCTCAGTGTTCTCATTCTAAAGATTAATTTTATTTTTGTTAAGTATAAGATCATTCATTTCATTCGGACCGGATAAAATTAATCACTGAAACGAAAGTCGGGTGGGTGGGCGGGGCTAATTATGTTCTCCTATGGAGTGGAAGTGGAAACTAATAGAATTTAGGATGTCAAAAAAGTAAAAAAAAGCGCTCACCGTAAATATTTTGTTATACTATTTGCTAATGGAACTGTAAAAATTGATATATTTCAACTGGCGATTTTGGAAAAACGATAGAAATTTTCTAAGAAATGAAGCCTACAATGACTTCTGGTTGTCGAAAACTACAAAAAAATGTCTAGCTAATTTTCGAAAATGCTTGAAAAATGGTCAAAAATGTCAAAAGTGTCAAAATCAAAATGCTAGCCCCGCCCACCCGCCCTCTATTTTCTTGGAAGATATGTCATTTGCCAAAAACAGTCTTGTCTTATCAAGTACTAGCCCCGCCCACCCGCCCTCTATTTCCTTAGAGGGTATGTCATTTGCCAAGATCAGTTTTATCGTAGCAAGTATTAGCCCCACCCATCCTTAGTCTTCTCATTCTAAAGATTAATTTTATTTTTGTTAAGTATAAGATCATTCATTTCATTCAGACCGGATAAAATTAATCACTGAAATGAAAACCGGGTGGGTGGGCGGGGCTAATTATGTTATTACGTTATTATGTTATTATGTGGAAACTAATATAATCTAGGATGTGAAAAAAGTAAAAAAAAGCGTAACTGTAATTTTTTTGTAATACTATTTACTAATGGAACTGTAAAAATTGGTATATGTATTTCAACTGGCGATTTTGGAAAAACGATAGAAATTTTCGAAGAGTGTCAAAATCAAAATGCTAGCTCCGTCCACCCGCCCTCTATTTTCTTGGAAGATATGTCATTTGCCAAAAACAGTTTTGTCTTAGCAAGTATTAGCCCCACCCACCCTCAGTGTTCTCATTCTAAAGATTAATTTTATTTTTGTTAAATATAAGATCATTCATTTCATTCAGACCAGATAAAATTAATCACTGAAATGAAGATCGGGTGGGTGGGCGAAGCTAATTATCTTCTCCAATGAAGTGGAAGTGGAAACTAATAGAATCTAGTATGTGAAAAAATTTAAAAAAAGGGCTCATCGTAAATTTTTTGTTATATTATTTGCTAATGGAACCGTAAAAATTGATATATTTCATCTGGCGATTTTGGAAGATAGAAATTTTTGAAAAAACGAAACCTAAAATGACTTCTGGTCGTCGAAAGCTACAAGAAAATGTCTAGCTAGTTTTCGAAAATGGTTGAAAAATGGTCAAACATGCCAAAAGTGTCTAAATTAGTCATATCTTATAAAATGCTAGCCCCGCCCACGCGCCCTCTATTTTCTTGGAAGATAGGTCATTTGCTAAAAACAGTCTTGTCTTGTCTTGTCAAGTACTAGCCCCACCCACCCGCCCTCTATTTTCTTGGAAAATATGTCATTTGCCAAAAACAGTCTGGTCTTATCAAGTACTAGGCCCTTTGTTTTCTTGGAGGGTGGGTGTGCGGGGCTAATTGTGTTCTGCTACGGAGTGGAAGTGGAAACTAATAGAATCTAGGATGTGAAAAAAGTAAAAAAAAAACCTAATCGTAATTTTTTTGTTATACTATTTGCTAATGGAATTGTAAAAATTGCTATATTCCAATTGGCGATTTTGGAAAAGCGATAGAAATTTTCGAATTTTTGGATGTCGAAATCTATATTTAGAAAATGGTTGAAAAATTGTCGAAAATACCTAAAGTAGATTCCATCAAGTTACTGAAGTAGTTCACGTCATACAACTACTTAAGTAGTTTATAATTGTTGAAAAAAGCGTTATTACTTTTTTACAGCCAATTCAAGTCCGAGAATTCGACCCTTCGAAGAAGTCCCTCATCACACACCTCGGCGTTTACAGCTCCAACCCCGACAAAACCAAAAAAATCGTCGACCTCGCTGTCACCCTTGAAAGCGGGCGTCGCGTCGCCTGCGACGTGGGCGACGCCGACCCTGAACGCATGGCGCCCCCGAGAGTCGAAGAGTACATCCAGGAGGTCTTCGCCAACAGCAACATCAAAATCCACGTACAATAATTCAACCTTGTGTATTACATGTTGCCTACACAACAATTTGCAGGTGATCAACAGCCCCCAGCAGCTCGCCAAAGAATACCCCCTCTTCGACGCCGTCAACCGCGCCGCCTCCGTGGTCAAGCGCCACCACGGCCGCATCGTTTTCCTGGAGTACGCGCCCCCGGATCCGTCCAAAATCAAAGAAACTTTGTACTTGGTGGGCAAGGGGGTGACGTACGACACCGGCGGCACCGATGTGAAAATCAACGGGGCCATGGTGGGAATGTCGAGGGATAAGTGTGGGGCGGCGGCGGTGCTGGGTTTCATGCAGATCGTGAAATTGTTGCAACCGGAGGACGTGAAGGTGGTGGTGGGCGTAGGGCTGGTGAGGAATAGCATAGGGGCTAATGGGTATGTGGCCGATGAGGTGCTGACGTCCAGGGCTGGAGTCAGGGTTAGAGTGGTCAACACGGATGCGGAAGGCAGGATGATCATGGCGGATGTGTTATGCAAGGTGAGTCGGAGTATATTGGGTTGTCTATGTAGAGTACTTTTTAGTAAATTTTGTTAGTGTATTTTGGGTTGCGGTTATTACTTTTGAATGTTTCATGTCTGCATTATGGGTTGCCTATATTTATGTTAAGAAACCACAACATTTTAGTTAAATAGATAATAATCGATACTTTTTTATTGTTTATAGACATAATTTGGCAGATTCGTAGTTGTGCAGTTGCAAAATTTTATGGTCGAAAACTTTTACCCAAATCATTGAACTTTAAATGACTGCGGATCGCGTAATTAAGCTTCGCTGTCCGGAAAATAATAAAAGTAGGAAAGTCCTCATTATCATAATTCTTTGTTTTTGGCGCACAACAATTACCTTTTGTTATCAGAGGCAGCCGCGGCACTAGTCAGCGTCCGGAAAAACAAACAAATAAAATCCATTTTCCACAAACCAGACAATGAAAGCTATTTATATCCCCGCCTTGACAAATTATTTATTAATTACTGTTCGCTCCGAGCATAAAATTACTGAAAAATGTGCATTATCCAAAGCACGTGCTGGACACATTACACTACAAGTGCCACTCACGTTTTTCGTTACGTAATTATATTGTATCGATGATTTGAACAAACACGTGTGACATTTAACCGGTAAAAATACAAATAAATGCATAATCGAATAAGCATTAAAGAGAGAAGTTATGCATTTTTGCTTTTTCTATTGGTTATTACTTTTTTTTATACTAATTAAATCGAACCGTTGGAAATGCTTAACAACTATAAATAATCATTATCGATTTTTAAATTCATTATTCACTGTTTATTTACATTTTTATGCCGCAGACTTGGAAATGTTGTGATTATAGTAATAGTGAACAGTTAAAAATTACAGTTGAATCGAACGGTGATGATGTCGCCTTTGGTCATCGAGGATGAATGTGCACGCACAATGTGATGACATGCTATTTTTATGCAGTTTTATTTACTTATTTTTTTAATTTAAACATTAAGTTGTTTGCGGCGCACTGGCGTCAAGCGAATTCTACGCGTTACATTAATCCCACAATTTTAAAAATTACAAATTTTGGCACTAGTTTGGCTTAGAACTGTACACCTAGTTTTAAATATTTATTAGTTATTCCGGATATTTTTGAGATTTTTTCAAACATTTGATCCGAATTTCGTTTTTTCCCCCTGTAGTACTAATTTTTTTAAACCTGGATGTATTTTTATTTGGTTTTTTGGACACACTCATCGCTCACAATTAAGAATTAAGCCCTCTTAAAGTCATAAAATTTACTAAACCCATTTAGTGCCTCTTGACTCGTCGAATCTTAAGGCAGAAATCACAGCTGCACCTATGGAAAATTACCTTAAATCAAATTTTATTTTAAATTCCTCGCATCAGACTCCACCTACTTAACTTAACCTTCAATCATATCTTATGTTGGCCGTGCTTAGCACCTGGTGATAAGGTCGGTAATTTTGTAACTTGTTGCACTGAAAGCGGCAAAATAAGTGACTTAAAATGGCACGCTTTAATTGAAATTAAAATAAGTTTCAGTTTAGTACAAAAATGCACTTTTGAATTCAACGAAGGGCGACTTTGTCTTTTTTTAGGTTTTTTTAACTGGTAATGTACATACCAGAGCCTGGGTGCACTATAGCTGTAATGTAAGTCTCGCCTGCGGCTCGGAATATACTTGGTAACGCAGCTAAAGTCGATGCACAATGAAAAAAACAGGAAAAAAATATGTTGCTAACGGAATACCTGTAATTTCACCTTTCTTGTCAGCCGGCTAATTGTCATCAAAGTTGACATTTGATTAAAACTCCACAAACAAGAATTATTTCTTTTTGTAGGTTAACCATAATTCATAATTGCTGTTGTAGTAAAAACCGCAAATTTGTATGTTGGCAATTCTGAATTATTGGCAGCAGTGTTAACATCTCAGTTCACAGTTGTCAATTTTGTTTCAAACATGACTACTAACTTGATGTCATCAATGTCAACCTGAGAATCAGGTATGCCACCATAAAAATTTAAGTATATTGCCAACTTGGTCACTGTATAATATGGTCTTCAGTTGTGGTTTTTGAGTCGATATATGTATATTTTGGAATTGATTAAAAATATCTCAAAAAAATTAAGTAATAATAATACAGCTTGTAGAAGGTTATTACATTCAGTGAATTTTTTTGCAAAAATTCGTATGCCCAAGGGAAAACTCAAATCGGATTCATACACCACAAGTTTCGGAGTATATTACTGTACAACATTTTAATAATTTTAGTGTAGAAACTTCTTAGATGACGTCATCAAATTGTTGGTACATGATATCCCTAATATATATTTGAGAACAATCGGGTCAGTAGTTTCGAAGATTAACTGTCTAATAAAAATCGACACAGAGCACAGACGACAGACCAATGAACACGGAATGCCAATTTTTTCGTACTTTAGGGGTCATAAAACGTCGAGAAAACGTTAAAGTAATCAGTCGCCCGATGGACACTATCACAATACCTCTGAGTGTAAGCGAATTAAGTTTAATAAATCACACGTATTTTTATTTTAACTTAACATAAGTCACCTTAGAAAACCACATGACCAAATATTTTTAAAGGTTGTGAAAAAGTCTTAGAGCCTTTTCGTATTTTTGAAGATATTTGAAAAATCTCAGGGTTCCTGGTATTTTATTTTTGAAAGAGATAAAAATTCTTATCTAACCCTAAAGTTCTAAAGTATACAACAATAGGTCTCCCGTTTCTGTCTCTCTGTGAGTCGTTTACCATTCGTCTTTGCCGTTGTTATAAATTTATGATTTTTTTTTTGTAAAACTCCACATGTCGAAGGTAAAAAATAAAGGTGTTTATGTAATGAAATTGAAGTAGGATTTACCTTTGCAAAATTTTGAGATGATGTCATCAAATTTTTGGTGGGGATGATCAGACAAATTTTGGTTTTGACCATTTACATGATATTCCTAAATTACATGTAAAAGCTTACAACAATCAGTTCCTGAGATTACAGACCATAGACGATAAGCAGACAGACAGATAGACAACTGTTTATACAGTGTAATTAATTTTATAAATTGTGAGTTTTCTCATCTTATTTTAAATGGGGCATTAGGTATTTTACATCTCTCAAGTCAGGGTTTAATACCAGGTTTGTTGGAGTTTGTTTACGTTTAGTATAATTTTAAATTTAGAGGCATTTTGCAAAATATTTTACAGGGTGTCCCACTTCAAGTTCCTCACTTTTATTTTTCATTTTTCCGACTTTTTAACTTTCATTTTCTTGATTTTATTTTACAATGTTGCGTTTTTCCTTTTCCTTTATTTTATCAATGTTTTTTGGATTTTATAATTTTTCGATTAATCAATTCTTCAAATTTTGAATTTTTGATTTTTCAATTCCCAAATTTTCCAATTTTAAAAATTTTTAATTTTACAGTTTTTGAATTTCTCAGTTATCTGCTTTCCCGATTTCTTTAATTTTCAATTTTTCGGTTTCGATTTTTCAATTTTTTAATTTTTTGAAGGTTTCATTTTATACTTTTTCGATTTTTCATTTTTGATTTTTCGGTTTTATAGTTTTGCAATTTTTCTAATTTTATGATTGAAAAAGTTGAAAAATCAAAAATTGAAACAATGAAAGAGAAAGTTAAAATTCGAAAATAATTAATGATTTGAAAAATTGGAAAGAAGAAAATATGAATCGAATCGAAAAACTAGAAAATTCAAAAAATTTAAAATCCAAAAATTGAAAAATCGAATAAATGAGAAAGTTTTAAAGTCGGGTAATTGAAAAATGGACAATTCTGAAATCGTAAAATTGAAAAAGTGATTTTTTTTTTAAATAATAAGTATTATTAGATCTGATAATACATGTTTCAAATCAAAACTAGAAACATATGCACATCAAAAATTGAAGAAACGGAAAATTCAAAAATCTGAAAGTTGGAAAGTCGTAAAATTCAAAACCCAAAAATTGCTAAACGAAAAATTGTAAAATCCAAACAATAAAAAATTTCACATTGAAAAAAGAGAAATTATAAAATCAGTACACTGAAAAACCGATAAATCGTAAAAAATTAAGAAAACAAAAGCCGAAACGAAAAATTGCAAATCAAAAATTTGAAGAAATGAAAAATTGTTAAATCTAAAAATCGAAAAATTAAAAATTGGAAACTCGCGATATTACAGTTCGGAAAATTACGAAATCTAAGAATTGAAACAAACTGGAAAACCGAAAAATGAAAAAATTGAAAATTCTGAAGAACTGAAGAAACGAAAAATTGAAACAATGAAAAACTAAAAAACGAGAAAGTTAAAATTCGAAAATAATTAATGATTCGAAAAATTGGAAAAAAGAAAAAACGAATCGAATCGAAAAACTAGAAAATCCAAAAAATTAAAAATCCAAAAATTGAAAATCGAATAAATGAGAAAGTTTTAAAGTCGGGTAATTGAAAAATGGAAAATTCTAAAATCGTATAATTGAAAAAGTGATTTTTTTTTATAATAAGTATTATTGGATCTAATAATACATATTTCAAATCAAAACTAGAAACATATGCAGACCAAAAATTGAAGAAACGAAAAATTCAAAAATCTGAAAGTTGGAAAGTCGTAAAATTCAAAACCTAAAAATTGCTAAACGAGAAGTTGTAAAATCCAAACAATAAAAAATTTCACAGTGAAAAAAGAAAAATTATAAAATCAGTACACTGAAAAACCGATAAATCGTAAAAATTAAGAAAACAAAAGCCGAATCGAAAAATTGCAAATCGAAAATTTGAAGAAATGAAAAATTGTTAAATCTAAAAATCGAAAAATTAAAAACTGGAAACTCACGATATTTAAATTCGGAAAATTACAAAATCTAAGAATTGAAACAAACTGGAAAACCGAAAAATGAAAAAATTGAAAGTTCTGAAGAACTGAAGAAACGAAAAATTGAAACAATGTAAAACTAAAAAACGAGAAAGTTAAAATTCGAAAATAATTAATGATTCGAAAAATTGGAAAGAAGAAAAAACGAATCGAATCGAAAAACTAGAAAATCCATAAATTTAAAAATCCAAAAATTGAAAAATCGAATAAATGAAAAAGTTTTAAAGTCAGGTAATTGAAAAATGGGCAATCGTAAAATTGAAAAAGTGATTTTTTTAAATAATAAGTATTATTAGATCTAATAATACATATTTCAAATCAAAACTAGAAACATATGCAGATCAAAAATTGAAGAAACGAAAAATTCAAAAATCTGAAAGTTGGAAAGTCGTAAAATTCAAAACCCAAAAATTGCTAAACGAGAAATTGTAAAATCCAAACAATAAAAAATTTCACATTGAAAAAAGAAACATTATAAAATCAGTACACTGAAAAACCGATAAATCGTAACAATTAAGAAAACAAAAGCCGAAACGAAAAATTGCAAATCGAAAATTTGAAGAAATGAAAAATTGATAAATCTAAAAATCGAAAAATTAAAACTGAATATTACAATTCGGAAAATTACGAAATCTAAAAATTGAAACAAATTGGAAAACCGATAAATTGAAAAAACAAAAAAAAAATCGTAAAATTGCAAATCGGAAAATTTAAGGAAGAAAAATTGAAAAAAACTGGAAATAGAAAAACAAAAAATATAAAATCGGAACATCAAAAAATATAAAGAAAAATTGCAAAATCTAAAAAGTGAAAATTGAGAAATCGCAAAATGAAGAAATCGAGAAATGTAAAATATGAAGAATCGGGAAAGAGAAGAATCAAAAAATCGGGAAACCCCAACACAGAAATACCGAAAAATTGAAAATTTAGAAATTGTAAAATTGAGAAATTGAAAAATCGAGAAATTGAATAATAAATATCCTGAAATAGCCCAAAACAAAAAAATCGAAAAATTGAAAAATAGAAAAAAGTTCAAGATTCAAAAATTGAAAATCGAAAACTCAAAAATTTTAAAAATCAAAAAATTAAGACATTGAAGAATTCAAAAACTGAGAAATCGAAATATTGAAAAGTTAGGAAATCGACAAATATGAAAATCAAGAAAACATTTAATTTAGAATTTGAGAAATCGAAAAATTGAAAATTTAGAAACGTCAAAAGTTGAAGAATTGAAAATTTTTAAAATAAAAAAATTGAAAAGTCGAAAAATTGAAAGATCGTAAAACTAAAACGTCGGAAACTTGAGAAATCGCAAAATGAAAAAATCCAGAAATCGAAAATAAGAAGAATCGAGACACTGAAGAATAAAAAAATCGAAAAATGCCAACACTGAAATACCTAAAAATTGGAAATCTAGAAATTGAAAAATCGAAAAATTTAAAAATGTATTTACTAAAATAAAACTGATTTTGGCAATGACAGATGCTCTAAGAGAAGAGAGGGTGGGTGGGCGGGTTCGTTTTTCCTTTCCCTTTATTTTATAAGTGTTTTTTCGATTTTATAATTTTTCGATTATTCAGTTCTTCAAATTGTGAATTTTTAGTTAGTTGAATATTTAGTTTTTTCGATTTTTAAATTTCTCAGTTTTTAATTTTACGATTTTTCAGTTTTTAGATTTTTTGAAGGTTTCATTTTATACTTTTTCGATTTTTCCTTTTTGAATTTTCGGTTTTAGTTTTGCAATTTTTCTAATTTTATGATTCAAAAAGTTGAAAATCAAAAAATTGAAAATTCGAAAAATTAATAATGGAAAACTAAAAGATCGGAAAAATAAGAAAAATTTAAAAACTGAAAAAATGAAAAATTGCAAAATCGAAAAATTGCAAATCGAGGAACTGAAGAAACGAAAAATTGAAACAATGAAAAACTAAAAAACGAGAAACTTAAAATTCGAAAATAATTAATGATTTCAAAAATTGGAAAGAAGAAAAAATGAATCGAATCGAAAAACTGGAAAATCAAAAAAATTGAAAAAATGAAAAAGTGATTTTTTTTAAATAATAATTATATAAAAATCGAAAAATTGAAAAATGGAAGAAAAATTTAAGAATAGAGAAACTGAAAAATCGAGAATTCGAGAATCATTTTTTGTAAAAGTTAGTCATCAGTATTTACTAAAATAAAACTGATTTTGGCAATGACAGATGCTCTAAGACAAGAGAGGGTGGGTGGGTGGGGCTGGTAACTGTCAAGATATGACTGATTTTGGCAAATGACATACCCTCTAAGAAAATAGATGGTGGGTGGGCGGAGCTAGTAGCTGATATTGGCAAATGACCTACTCTCTAGGACAATGAAGGGTGAGTGGACGGGGCTGGTACTTACTAAAATGAGACTAATTTTGCCAAATGCCATACCCTCTAAGAAAATGAAGGGCAGAAGGTACATCATTTGGCAAAATCAGTCTTATTTTGGCAAGTATTGGCCCCGCCCACCCACCCTTTATTTTCTTCGAGGGTATGCCATTTGGCAATATTCGTCTTATCGTAGTAAGTACTGGCCCCGCCAACCCGCTCATTATTTTCTTAGAGAGTACGTCATTTGCCAAAATTAGTCTTATTTGGGCAAGTACTAGCAAGTCCATTAAAGCATAACTAACTAAACACTAATTCCTGCCTTGTGCATATAAGTAAGCTCGTAATGTTCCTAAGTTTTAATCATTTTTTGTAAAAGTTAGTTGTCAGTATTTGCTAAGATAAAACTGATTTTGGCAATGACAGATGCTCTAAGACAAGAGAGGGTGGGTGGGCGAGTTCGTTTTTCCTTTCCCTTTATTTCATCAATGTTTTTTCGATTTTATAATTTTTCGATTATTATAGTTCTTCAAATTTTGAAGTTTTGATTTTTCACTTCCTAGATTTTCCAATTTGTTAAAATTTTCAAATTTTTGAATTTCTCATTTATCTGCTTTCCCGTTGTCTTTAATGTTCAATATTTCGATTTTTAAATTTCTCAATTTTTAATTTTTCGATGACATACCACTTAAGAAAGGAGAAGGTGGGTGGGTGGGGCCGATAGCTGTCAGGATAAGACTAATTTTGGCAAATGAGATACCCTCTAAGAGAAGGGCGGGTGGGTGGGTGGAGATAATAGCTGCTAAGATAAAAGTGATTTTGGCAAATGACATATCCCCTAAAAAAAGACAGGGTGGGTGGGCGGGCCTAGTGCCTGCCGAGATAAGACTGATTTTAGCAAATGACGTATCCTCTAAGATATTTAATTAAATTTTTATAAGAAAAGACACTAGAGGCTCCAAAGATCTCTCAAATTCTTCTCAAGCAGGAATACCCAGAACTTCAAGATTGTTTTAAATTTTCCAAAAAAAACGGGGTCCCAAAATTAACTCAAAAACAGTCCCCAAAATTGTTTTAAATAATTTACAAAACAAAAATTACCATGGGCTTCCAAAATAATACAAGGGTCTCCCGGATTAAAAAAAAACAAAAACACCGCGGTACTCAAGACTTTTCCAGACTTCCGGTATAGTAAATTTTATTTAAATTTGATACTTCTATACTTGTGGTTTATGAATCTGTGTCGATTTTTACTATAGGTATCCAGATTAAAAAAAAAATCAAACTTATCAGACCTGTGTACTCTAGGGACGAGGGAAGTCCTACCTAAATAACCTTGTACCAATTTTTTAAGAGGTTTTAAAAGTGTGGACAAAGAATTTATTATTAAAAATAAAAAAAATGTTATCCCAGTGGGCGATAAAGGTATCACTCGCGAAGAACTAAATCCCGCCAAAACCGTCCTACTGCTTTTTAAATTATGAAAATCGTTCCCTAAGTGGTTTCCACATTACATACTTGAACGCTTTAGCTTTTTGCCGCCCATCACATCCATGACAACTTCTTCACCTCAGTTCTTAATTTAATCTTGATGGATCTTTAATCGTCAATTAAATCCAACAACCAGAAAAACCTAAACGTAAGTTAAAACCACAACTCCGGCCACATTTGAAGACCAGGAAGACATCAGTTCCTAAGCAATGTAACAAATTCAAAACTGCAATAGTTTCTCGAGGGCATAATTAATGTTCAATACATCCACATACCCCACGACCAACCTTCGTAATATTTTAACCACGCCTTAAACGATTGAATCGATTTCCGATACCCGCTTACTCCGTTCCTGGCAACCCGGCACTCCAGAGCCCAAAACCGACGCCGTCTTCGGCGGCGCCCCGGGTCCGGATCGCGCCGATTTGTCTTGATTTGAGTAAACTTACGGCGGAGGTGAGCCGAGAACGTGGATGACCTCACGATTTCGGTCGCCACAACAACAGCAACAACGTTGCTAATAATGATGCGTGCCATCCGCGATCGAACCATGTTCAGGCGGATAATAAGCGGCAACTCCGCTTTAATTGGACATTTGTTAAGACACGCGTTTGTTTCCAGATGAAGGAAGCCGCCTTGGAGGCTGTCAACCCGCATCTCTTCACTGTCGCGACGCTGACGGGACACGCATTTTTGGCGGTCGGCGAGGGATACTCCATCGGTAAGGAAACGTAAACAATTATGACGAAAATGAAAAGAGGCCAGCGACCGGTTTCGGCGGGAGTGATAACGAACTGGTTTTTGATTGAAGGATTTGAATGAAAATGAAAATGTGATGGCGGCGAGGCGATGGGACGGCGCGATTAATAAGCGAGGAGCGATTAAGAATGGGCAAAAGATAAAATAAAGTTGGAGGTGGCAGTCGGAGAGGCTTCGACGGAAGCGCACACGCAGAGACTAACATTATCAGTTGTATCTAAGTGACGAAACGTCTTTATTTGAATTAAAAAATCGATAGAAAAGTGCCTGAAAACTTTAAATTAAATATTTTGCCGCTTTTCGACACGGTTCTTGTCCCATCGTTCCTAACAGCAGACTATATGCAGAATCCAGCGTACATCGCTGGGGTAAAGATTAACATTAACATGAATAAAGTATTGGTTTTTTAAATTTATTACCGGTTATTTACTAGTTTCAATCAAATTGTTAGATTTTTCTGTGTTTTTTAATTTCAAGCTATTCGAAATAACCATATTCAGTGAACAAACAATTCTAAAGTTACTCATTACCTTTCACTTATCAAGAGATACTTAAGGGAAACACCATATAAGGTTCATCCTATAATAAGTTTATTTCCTAAGGCCATATACATATCCGGATGTGGAAAAACATCAATAATGCGTAAGCATGACAATCAGTAAAATAAAATTCATTGTGCAATACAGGAGAAAAATCATTTAAATCGTATATTGTATGGTTTAATGAAAATATTTTAATTATATTTGTGTTTTTTCATTAAAAATCGGTCTATCATGGTTTTAGAAATATCCGGTTTCAAAATCGAATTTTTAAAATAGCTCAAAAATTGCCATATTTCGTTTTGGAGATTTTGGAAAAATGATAGGTGTTTTCAAAGATAACTTCAGGGGACCGAAATCAACAAAAACATCTCTTTTGCTAAATTTCGAAAATAATAATAATAATAATAATAATAATAATAGGACTTTATTAAATAATAATAGGCGAAGTCTAGCCATAGGCTATTCCACTTAACCTTAGATTTACAACAAAATAAAACTAACCAAACAGTTTGTACAGAAAAACGGATTAAATATCTAGACAGGAGTTAGCTAGGTAATGATCAAATTAAACAATTTAAACTAATTAAAACTAAATTAAATTAAATTAAATTTAATAATAATCCATAATTAGAAACTAAATTTATACAAATAATAATAATAATAACAAAAAGTTAACAACAAGCAAGAGAACCACAATAATAAACTTAAACCTAAGTATTAATCAAGCATTTTTTAATTTTTTTCCTAAAACAATTGATGGAAGAACTCGAATTAAACTCTAATAAAAATTTATTGTAAACTTTGATAATATTGTTAATGTTCGAGAAAAGGTCAAAATTTTCTGTGTTCGAAAAGTTGAGTTTGGCGATTTTGCCTAAAAATCCACAAAAAATTCTCAGCAATAGATTTTCACAAGCTGAATTTACGAATATGGCATGCTGATGGACCTGGTCCAAGATGGAGAACTATCATCGAAAATTCCGAGACTATTGTAGTATTTTTGCCAATTCTAGAAAAACTAGAATATCAAAAATTATGAAAAAAAATGGTGTTTGTACAATAATGATCGATCTATTAGCGAAAAGAGTCCCAAATTAATACGAAAACTGGTTTTAGAAATATCCGGTTTCAAAGTTAAAATTTGAAAATATCTCAAAAATTGCCATATTTCGTTTTGGAGATTATGGAAAAATGGTAGGAATTTTCGAAGAACTGGAGTAGTAAAAAATTTCAGGGGATCGAAATGAACAAAAAATCTATGCTAAATTTCGAAAGTGCTCAAAAAAAATCAACGTTTTCAAAGAGTTCGAAATGTTGAGTTTGCCGATTTTGCCTAAAAACCCACAAAAAATTTTGAGCAATAGATTTTAACGAGCTGAATTCACAAATATGGCATGTTGAGGAACCTTGTCCAAGATTGAGAATTATCATCGAAAATTTCGGGACTATCGTAACATTTTTGGCAAGGACGTATTTAGCCCAATTCTAAAAAAACTAGGAGGCCAAAAAATCATGTTTGTGCAATAATGATCGGTCTGTCATCGAAAAAAGTCCCAAATTAAAACGAAAACTGGTTTTAGAAATATTCGGTTTCAAATTCAAATTTTTAAAATACCTCAAAAATTGCCATATTTGGTTTTCGAGATTTTGGAAAAATGGAAGGAATTTTCGAAGAACGGGAGCCGTAAACAACTTCAGGAGATCGAAATCAACAAAAAAATCTTTGGTAAATTTCGAAAGTGCTCCACAAAAGGTCAAAATTTTCAAAGTGCTCAAAAAATTGAGTTTGGCGATTTTGCCTAAAAAGCCACAAAAAATTCTGAGCAATAGATTTTCACAAGCTGATTCACAAATGTGGCATGTTGATGGACCTGGTCCAAGATGGAGAACTATCATGGAAAATTCCGAGACTATTGTAGTATTTTTGCCAAGGACGTATTTAGCCCAATTCTAGAAAAACTAGAAGGTCAAAAATTATGAAAAAAATCGTGTTTGTACAATAATGATCGATCTATTAGCGAAAAAATTCCCAATTAATACGGAAACTGGTTTTCGAAATATTCGGTTTCAAAGTTAAATTTTTAAAATATCTCAAAAATTGCCCTATTTCGTTTTAGAGACTTTGGAAAAATGGTACGAACTTTCGAAGAACTGGAACCCTAACAAATTTCCGAGGATCGAATCAACAAACAAATCTTTGGTAAATTTTGAAAGTGCTCGAGAAATGATCAAAATTTTCAGTGTTCAAAAAGTTGAGTTTGTCGATTTTGCCCAAAAATGCAAAAAAAATTCTGAGCAATAGATTTTATTGAGCTGAATTCATAAATACAGCCTGGTCCAAGATTGAGAACTATCATCGAAAATTCCGCGACTATTGTAGCATTTTTGCCAAGGACGTATTTAGCCCAATTCTAGAAAAACTAGAAGGCCAAAAATTATGAAAAAAATCGTGTTTGTGCAATAATGATCGATTGATCAACGAAAAAACTCCCAAACTAATACGGAAACTGGTTTTCGAAATATTCGGTTTCAAAGTTAAATTTTTAAAACATCTCAAAAATTGCCATATTTCGTTTTAGAGACTTTGGAAAAATGGTACGAACTTTCGAAGAATTGGAACTCTAACAAATTTCAGAGGATCGAACCAACACACAAATCTCTGCTAAATTCTGAAAGTGCTCGAGAAATGATCAAAATTTTCAGTGTTCAAAAAGTTGAGTTTGTCGATTTTGCCCAAAAATGCACAAAAAATTCTGAGCAATAGATTTTATCGAGCTGAATTCACAAATATAGCCTGGTCCAAGACTGAGAACTATCATCGAAAATTCCGCGACTATTGTAGCATTTTTGCCAAGGAAGTATTTAGCCCAATTCTAGAAAAACTAGAAGGCCAAAAATTATGAAAAAAATCATGTTTGTGCAATAATGATCGATTGATCTGCGAAAAAAGTCCCAAATTAATAAGGAAACTGGTTTTCGAAATATTCGGTTTCAAAGTTATATTTTTAAAATATCTCAAAAATTGCCATATTTCGTTTTAGAGACTTCGGAAAAATGGTACGAACTTTCGAAGAACTGGAACCCTAACAAATTTCAAAGGATCGAACCAACACACAAATCTCTGCTAAATTCTGAAAGTGCTCGAGAAATGATCAAAATTTTGAGTGCTCAAAAAGTTGAGTTTGTCGATTTTGCCTAAAAATCCACAAAAAAATCTGAGCAATACATTTTATCGAGCTGAATTCATAAATATGGCATGTTGGTCCAATATTGAGAACTATTATCGAAAATTCTGAGACTATTGTGGCATTTTTGCCAAGGACGTATTTAGCCCAATTCTAGAAAAACTAGGAGGCCAAAAATAATGAGAAAAATCATGTTTGTGCAATAATGATCGGTCTGTCAGCGAAAAAAGTTCCAAATTAATACGAAAACTGATTTTCGAAATATTCGGTTTCAAAATAAAAATTTTGAAATATCTCAAAAATTGCCATATTTAGTTTTGGAGGTTTTGGAAAAATGGTAGGAATTTTCAAAGAACTGGAACCGTAAAAAACTTCATGGGATTGAAATCAACAAACAAATCTTTGCTATATTTTGAAAGTGCATGAGAAAAGATCAAAATTTTCAGTGTTCAAAAAGTTGAGTGTGTCGATTTTGTCTAAAAATTCACAAAAAATTCTGAGCAATAGATTTTAACCAGCTGAATTCACAAATATGGCATGTTGATGGACCTGGTCCAAGATTGAGATCTATAATCGAAAATTCCGAGACTATCGTAGCATTTTTGCCAAGGATGTATTTAGCCCAATTCCAGAAAAACTAGAACGCCGAAAATTATGACAAAAATCATGTTTGTGCAATAATGATCGGTTTATCAGCGAAAAAATTTACAAAGCAATACGAAAGCTAGTTTTCGAAATATTCGGTTTCAAAATAAAATTTTTAAAATATCTCAAAAATTTAGTTTTGGAGATTTTGGAAAAATGGTAGGAATTTTCCAAGAACTGGAACCGTAAAAAACTCCAGGGGATCGAAATCAACAAACAAATCTTTGCTAAATTTTGAAAGTGCTCGAGAAATGATCAAAATTTTCAGTGCTCAAAATGTTCAATTTGTCGATTTTGCCTAAAAATTCACAAAAAATTCTAAGCAATAGATTTTAACCAGCTGAATTCACAAATATGGCATGTTCAGGGACCTGGTCCAAGATTGAGATCTATAATCGAAAATTTCGAGACTATCGTAGCATTTTTGCAAAGGATGTATTTAGCCCAATTCCAGAAAAACTAGAAGGCCGAAAATTATGAGAACAATCATGTTTGTGCAATAATGATCGTTTTATCAGCGAAAAAATTTACAAAGCAATACGAAAACTAGTTTTCGAAATATTCGGTTTCAAAATAAAATTTTTAAAATA